ACTTCTACCCCAAGAAGCAGCTGTTTAAGCACCCAACCATCGATACCAAAGTATAACTTTTTTTTTCTTAAACCAGTCAGTAATAGGGTAAAGCCAGAAGTTTGAACAAAGCAGTGTTCCTCCCTCCCAGAGCCCACATGAACCATCGCAGCCACCAGGAAGGAGCCGAGCGGTCCCCGCTGCGCCCTCTGGGGGGAAAATGGCTTTGGCCACCTCTTCTCCGGCTGGTTTTGGTCCCTGTGCCCGCTCAGGAAACCGATTTGGCCGCAATCACCCTCACCTCAGGCTCCGTTTGGGAGGGGAAGGATCTGCCGAGGATGGATGTGGCGGGGTGTCCCCACCATCGGTCACAGCCACCCACTTGTTGAGGCTCACCCACCTCCCCGTGCACAAGCAGCCCCATAGACCAAGCATCCCAGAGACAGGTTCCCCAGAAAATCCCCATTTTTTTAATTTTTTTTTTTTTGGGGGGGGGGCTCTGGCTCCATGGGGCACCCCTCTTGGGAGAGCTGCTTCCATCCCACAGTGGGGATTTCAAGGCATGGAAGGCAAGCACCGTCCCACAGCAGTGGAATAAAGCCCTGCTGGGTGCTTTAAAATGAATTTAATTCGATTCCTTGTGGCCAGGAGCATCCCCGTGCACCTGCGATGCCTCGGCTCAGGGAGGAGGCTTTTGGGGTGCCCCGGTGTGAGCAAACCCACTGCAGTGCTCCAGCTTATCCACACCCGATGAAAAGCCAAAGGGTGGCTTCCCTCTGGGGACACTGCTCTGGGTTTTGCCTAAAACACCTTAAAAAAAATAAAAATTGACAGCTCGGCAAGGAAGGGAACCACGAAGAGAAGCGAGCACAGGCAAAGAGCTCCCGCACGGACAACGCCACTTACCCCTGAGCGAACCCCTGGAAAATAAAAAAAGTTGCTTATTCCGGGATTTTGGGGTTTTGTTGCTTGTTTTTTTTCCTCTCCGAAGAGCTGCTCAGCCCCACTGCATGGTGTGCTGGTTCTGCCCAGGCTGCCTGCCTCCTCGTCGGCTTCCTCGGAGGGACGAGGACGCCGCGGGCACGCTGGTCCCCGTTGGGCGGCTGCCACGGGGTCTGTGCGGGGCCGGGAGAGGCGGCTGGCGTGGAACGGCTGGGGGCCGGGCGCTGCAAATGGGATCCAGATGCTTCTTGCTGAGGTCAGAATTGCTCATCACACACGGTCCTTCCCCCCCCTGCACACTGCCCTCCCCTCCCCAGCGCTCCCCTGGGGACGCCTCCACACTCGGCGGCTTCCCTGGCCTGAATTTTTTTGCCTGTTATTCGTCTGTGGAGGAGAAAAAAAGAAAAAAAAAAGAAAAAAAAAAAAAAAGAAAAAAAAAAAAAAGAAAAAGAAAAAAAAAAGAGAGAGGGAGGAAAAAAAAAAAAAAGAGAAAAAAAATCCGGGTGGCGGGAGGTTATTCCAATAGCATGACTTTCACTCAGGAGCTAAGGGCTGGGCTTGGATGCTCGCAGCACACAGGACACGCCAAGGACCGTACCAAGTTACGCAGGGCTCCCTCGAAGCCCTTCGGGATGCCCGAGGCTGCAGAAAGCCCGGCCAAGCCCTCCCTGCAGCTACCAGAGGGTCTGTAACTCAGTTTCCTATCCGATGCAGCAGGAGAAGCGCTGGTGGGCTACGTCCTCCGCTCCCTGTGCCCCTGGGGGAATGAAAGTCAGACCCTTAACATAAAGATAAACACTTTAAAACACACAGAGCCTAGAGAAAAATTCCTAGTGAAAGCCTGAACGGTGCCGGAGCAAGTCAGGCGCTGACAATGAGCGAGTGCCCGATCAGTGACTCATTTTTCACCTTCATCCACTGCAAAAATACCTTGCAGCCTTCCTTTAGCAGAGCAAACCAGGCAGGTTTGGGGTTTATTTTTTTAGCTCTCTGCTTCTGCAGTGACAGAAGGGCGCTGGCCAAAATTAAACACTCCAGTCTGGACTGGGTTGCTTTCTGCAAGAATTTATGGTAAGGAAACCAATTTTTTTCCCTTGCCCCTGTTTGGGTCCATATAAGGCTGGAGCCGGGCATCAAACAGTCAAGTTCCCTTCGGTTGCTCCAAATGGGGATTTATGATGTTTGCTCTAGGTTTTGTGCAGTTTGAAAGGCTCGCCACATTAAAATAAAATAAAATAGCTGGAATGCTTCGGGAAGGCACTGAGCTCTCCAGCTGATGCAACAGCTCGCCCCAGCAATGGTGCGGGGACCAGAGGGACTTTGCAGGGGGGGGCAAAAGCAAACACCCCTGGCCATGTGCCCTAAAGGAAGAGGGTCCCCTCCCCGAATTTTGAACGATGGATCTTGGTTGTTCCCTGGGGGAAAAGAGAGGCAGTGCCTGGAAAAAAGGGAGCCATGGGGAAGGCAGTGATGGATGAGTGGCACTGGGCATGGTGGGTGGAGGACCAAGGGCATCCAATGGAGGGGCAACTTGTCCAAATCAAAGCATTTTCTTCAAAAATTTGGTTGCCCCTTGCAGTGGCATAGAGGGATCTGGGGAACCGTCTGCAGGGATGGTGCTGGTGCAAAACAACCAAATAAAATTCAGAGAGGATTTACTACCTTTAAAATTTGAGGTTTGAAATTGCAAACCCCAAACCCTTGCTCCGAGCTCACCCACACGTCTCGGCCTCACTCCACCCGTGCAATGCAACCAGAGAAAATTGCGTCCACCAGGCATGCTCCAGTGGCTCCAGTTTGCTGCCACCAGTGGAAACCAGTAGGGCACGGCCACAGGAGCGCCTGGGGTTTGTCTTGCTGCTGCTTCAGCTGCGCCTTCAGAAAGAAAAATTTTCTGCCTGGCGATCAGGGGAGGCAGGAAAACATTTTGAAGTTTTATTTTTAAGAAGGAAAGTACAAAACACAGGAAAGCTCCAGCTACCCCAGAACAGTAGTGAAAAACAGCCAAGATATGGGACTGTAGATAAATAATGTGAAAATATTGGTGAAACACATACAGATCCCATTATGGGCCTATCACGGCCCTATTGAGAACATATTTAACTTGTTAGTGTTTATTCCCTTCGTGATGCAGAATTTGTCTTAATATGGTTCTAATACTGCAGCAGCTTTTACCAAGTGCCCCAATGATTAAATGAGACTGGGAGAGGCCTGAAATTCCCACATGATTGCCTTTATGACCCTAATAACCTAGCTAAAAGCTTTTCCTTCCCCAAAAGAGGTTTCATAGCTGGGGACCGCAGCCAGCTGGGATGCAGTGGGTGTTTTAGGGCAGGGGAATTACATTTTTTCAACCATTTCCCTGAGGTCCCGACCACCGTCACTGCAGCATCCTGGGAGGGAGACATCCTCAGGGACAGGCTTCTTTCTGTTCCCAGAAACCCCCTTTGGAAACTGGTAAAAGGCAGAATCACAGCACCGTGGTCATTTCTAGAGGGCTGTGAGTAAGTTTAGCGAGATTTCCTCCCCGGTATGTTAATGACTGGATGTGATGAATGCGCTGAGCCCAGAGGGTTTTCAGGAATCCTCTTTCCATCCACGATAATAAAATAAAAGCCCCGTGTACTCCTTCCTCACGTCAGGCAGGGATCGGGGTGATCCCAAATTTACCGGGACACAGTGGGTGCTCTGCTGGTTGCAGCATCCCAGCTTGGCCCCATCCTTGAGCACCATCTGGTGGCTTCTCCACCGGGGACTCCTTGGGCATCCTCCAGACCCGCGGCCACCTTCATCCCCTCAAATCAAACCCGTCCCTGCAAGGCAGGGCTGCTGCGTGCCAGGAAATTCAGGGGTACCCCCAAAACTCTTTCCCCATCACCAACCCGAACACGATTTCAAAGAGCAAGCTCTTTTTTCTTGCCCTGCTAAAACCAGGCACGGGCATCCCGGCTGCAGCTTGCCTTTTAATTTTGCTCAGAATAGATGGTTTTAATTAGCTCCGAGGCATTAGTCATTGCTTTCTTCCAAATAGTCCCTCCACAACCAGCACCCCAGTTAGGAAATGGCCCGGGAAATGTTTTCTGAGGCTTTGCTTTTCTCTGCACTTTCTGTCTGTCTGTCTCCCAAGGCATTTGTACCACTTCTGATACCACCCTTGGCTGGAGTAAGAGAGCCAGGAGCATCCCTAGAGCAGGCAGAGAGGGTGGGAGAAAGCGAGCAGGGTTATTTGGAGTGGGAATTAAAGCACGAAATGGGACACCCAGCTCTGTCATTCCCAACCAGCATCCAGGTGCAAATGGGCCTTGATTGCAATCAGGGGCACACCTCCTAATTGGCACCAGGGCTGTGCAGGTATATTAGTGCGTCCCCAGGGCTGCTGGGGGTGATGCTGGGGGAGCTGCTGTCCCTTGGACGGGCTCTGGCTGGGCCTGCTGTGTGATGTTGGGTAATGGATCTGTTTTGTCTCAGCTCCTTATCTGTAAGGCAGTGGGATTTGCCTCCTAAGCTTATGTGGAGGGGAAAGAGTGGTGGTGGGCATGCCTGCTGAAGTCTTGTGGGGGCTGGGGTGTCTGGGGCTTGACTTCTGTAATTAGGAAAAACCTTAAGGGTGGGAGCAAAAATGTCAGATCCCTCCATAGGACCAGAGGGGAAGTCCTTCTGGAAGGACAAATAGTGTAGGGCTGTTTGAAAAATGGTTTAGTGGCTTCCTCTTAACCATTTTCTTATGTAGCTTAAAGCCAAAGGTGAAATAAAAGTTTCACCTGGCAGGAACACATGGGAGCTACTGAAATGTGCTGTTTCTTTTTTTCCCTCTTTCTTTTCTTTTATATTTTTTATTTTTATTCTTCCCCTTCCAAACCAGAGCTCCTTAAAGCTTTTGGGTATGCTAGAAAATGCTTTGCCTCCGATAAGCCAGGCATTTTTAAAAGGGTGCCTGTCTTGTTGCAACGCCTCCAGCTGAGGCCAATACTGCTAACTAAGCATAAAGATGGGATAAGCCCCAGAGAAGCAATAAAAGCAAGCCCATGGCAGGGCTGTACGAATGTATACATCCTTAATCCATGTTTGCATGGATGCAGGAGAGCTCATAACTCAAGTGAAGAAACCTTGGAGGCTGACCAGCTGCAGCCTGCAGAAAGGGCTGCTGGAAGGGCTCTGCAGTGCCTGCCATGGGAAGGAACAAACTGCTATGAAATATGTAAGTAACAGGAATAATTTCCCTTCTAACACAGTGTGCAGCTTGTAGGTCAGTAAAATACAACGTGAGCCACGGCACTCGGCTTCCAGGAAAGAAATTAGATGAGGTATTTCTCCAGTTAGGAGATGTAAGGCTGGAAATGGGTTTGTGATGTGTCTTGGCCAAAGCAGACCTTGCCAGCCATCACCGTGGCTGCTCCTGTTTTCTCACATATTGACTTCCAGGCAGTGCCTCTTGAGATGTAAAGAGGGAGAGGAGATCACTGAAAATGCAAAGCTTTGTGTGGGTACCCCCGTCCTGGGGGTGTTCTTGTTGAGGTTCCCTATTGCAGGAATAATGTCTGATGAGGCAGGATTTGGGAGATGCTGAGTGGATACAGTGGGAGGCAGAGGGCTTTCCAATGGCATTTGGAAAGCATTTATTTGGGGAAAAGATTGTTGTTTTGCTGAAGTTTGGTAACATTTTTGCTGAGGAAGCCAGGCTGGTTTAGCAGGGTCTTGCCATCTCATAGCTTGGTTTTGGGGAGCCACAAAAGTCTGGGTGGTCAGTAAGATCCTTGCTGCATCTGGAAATATCTCCTGGATGCTCACAGCATCTGCAGTGGTGCAGGTCTCCCCAACTACAAACGTGGGTCTCCCTTTGGGTGTCCCAAAAGGACAGGGACTGGGGACATCCCTGGGTGTGAGCTCAACCTGTCCCCACGCAGGAAGAGGTGGGGACAGCTTTGCCTGGTTACTGTTGCTGTTTACCACCCTCCCCAGCCGCTCATGGAAAAAAAAAAAATGGAAAAAATCCACATAAAACATGGAGCCAGCAGCCCTGCCAGCCTGACTAACGCGTCCTCTCTCAAACGTTTCATTCATTCATCCCACAGCCGGATGAGGGGAAATGGCACCGCTCACCCCCGGCAGAGCGACGCCGGGCTTGTCCCCAAAAACGCCCAACAGCCGGTCACCTGCAAGCTGGGACGGGGCTGGTCTTTACGGGACCTATATGGAGGAGGCAGGGGGTGCCAGAGCAGCCTGGAGGAGTTACGTGGCCCATAAATGACTTGGCCAGGCACCCTGTCCCCTGGCCTTGGGGACAGCGTGTTCCCTGCTCACTCCTCCTAGGGAGGAGGCGCGTGGAGAGAGTGAGTGTGCCGCGGGTGATGCTCCCAAAAAAGCTGCCACCGAGCACATTGTAGGCACCCCCACCCCACACACACGCCCCTTCTGGAAAACGCTGGGCACAAAGACGTGAATTCAGGCCGTTTCTGGGGGTGTGAAGGTGCAAAAAGTGGATTTGGAAAGCCTCCCTGCCTCTCTGGGGATGTTGCTTCTCTGCAAGAGGTGTCCCTGCTGCATGGCAGCCTCTTGCTGGGGGGTTGAGGAGTGACTGCTGCTCCCCCAGAGCCCCTCGGAGGCTCAAAGAAAACCTCCCCCCAGCCCAGAAATCCCCTCCAGGTCTGGCACATAGGAACAAAACCCCTGCTCCAAGCTGGGGTAATGGCAGATGCAACCACAGAGCTTGAATATGGGGTCCTTTTCCCCCCACACCTGGCTTGGGGCATCACAACCAGGTCCGAGGGCCATAAGGGTCTTTCCCAACCAAATTCATCCTGTGATAAGGGTGTGGGAGGTGTTATTTAAGGGAGGATGCTGCAGGGGGTGTAGGTGTGTGGGGAGCAACAGCTCGATCCTTTTTGCTGCCCAACAGCAGGGGATATTTTTGCATTATGTGACCTGAAATGCTTCGCAGAAATGCCAGTTTGGCCTGTGTTCAGCTAGCATGAACACCAAAAAGAGAGGGAAAGAGACCTGATTTTTTTCCCCCCTAAGAGGCCAGCCCTGGCCAGGCTTCACTGCAGTCATGGGACAGCAGCTGGGATTTTCCTTCTCCACCAAGAGGAGGAACAGGGAGGAGGGAAGAAAACGGTGAGTGCTCCCTGGGGGTTGCGAGAGCTTTCCAAAGGCAACAGGACAAACAAACGGGGACTCTCAGCATTGGGGCTGGTTGCTCTCCTGTGGTTTGACCTTTTGCGGGGTGGGAAGGGCACCTCTGTGTTGGTGGTACCTGGCGAGAGAGCTGAGAAAAACTTGTTTATGGGAGGGAAATACGGTGTGTCTGCAGCTGCATTTTGTGCTGGGCTCCGCACGGTGGCACAAGGAAACCTCTCTCCGGAGGAGCATCCCCCAGCTCTTTCTCTTTGCTCCAGCGATATTTTTGGCCAGGAGAGGAGCAGCACAAGGCTTCTGCAAGCCAGGCAGGGATGTGGGGACACCCCACAGCCTCTCGGGGGCATTTAGGATGCCGGGTGCCTCTGTTGGGCAGCTCCCTTTGGAGAGCCCCAGGGTGTCGCTTGGAGGCGTGCTGCTGGCACCGCTCCCTTGCCAGCCTGCTCTCCTCCTCGCTGTTTATTCCTGGGGTGAACAGGGGCTGGCTGCTCGGATGTGGGGGGGAAATCATCATCTGACCAGCCCCAAACCACACAAACACAGCAGCCCTGTGGCTCTGGCTTGCCTCGATGGCTGGAGGAGGAGAAAAGCAGCTGATGCTGCTGCTCTGCTGGAGCCAGTCGGCTGTGTAAGCAGAGGCTGCTGATAAGCAGATGACTTCTCAGCCCATCTCCACCAGCAGCATCCCGCTGGGGTGTCACGGGGAGAGTTTGCTTCGAAACCCAGCCTGGGGAGAGGCTGATTTTTGGGCAGGGGGCCTCCGTCACCTCCTGCACCACCTGCGTTAGGGGCAGCACTGCTTGTCCCTCCTGTGCCCTGGCTGGAGCCTGCCGGCAGGGCACGGGGAGCCAGCAGCACGTGGAAAAGAGGGCAGAGAGGGCCAAATGGAAACTCATTAGGGAGCGGATCGACCGGCAGCCCTCCCTCGGCGGGGCCAGCAAAGGCTCCCCTTGCGCGCCCTTGCTGCGAGCGCTTGTGCAGCGGTGAGCTTTGCAGCTCCAGCCTGTCCTTCTCCTCCTCTCTGCCCCTGGGATCACGTCTGACAGGGACAACAGCAGCCCGAGGGCTGGGAACCAGCACCAGGTGATGCCACCCGGCTCAGGAGCAGGTTTGGGATGGATGGAGATGGAGCTGCGGGCATGGGAGTAGCCGAAGGTGCTGCCAGTCCGCTTGTCCCCAGCCCAGCTCCTGGGCTCTGCGTCTTCATTTCCACGCCAACCTCTGCCCCATCTCCTGACACCCCAAAATCTGGCCAAAATCCTTGTGCCCTTGCTTGGGGTTAAGGGCAGAGAGCAGGATGCATCTCAGCAGGTCTGGGAGTGCCACGGCGCTGTCCCACATCAGAGCAGGTCATGGGGAGGGAACAACAAAAAAAAAAAAAACTATTTATTTTCATCCAGTGTTCAAATAGATTGAGCAATGCTCTGAGAACACCCTGTGGTATGAGCACATACCTGTGGCTGGCAGAGCTGGGCTTGGCCAGCACAAAGCAGCCTGTGAGGTCCCCGAGGAACCCAAAACCCTCACAGGAGAGGATTAGGGGAGAGCATCATCTCAGAAAGCTTATCGAAGAGAGGGTTATTCCAGCACAGCCAAGCTGCCCTGCTTCCTCACAGGTTTTCCCACCTGCATTTGGCTTGCTAGGTAGGTCAGCGCTTCATTTATCAGCGTGGGGATGTGGTCTGACGGCCACACAAAACCTTATCTCATCCCCTATTTCCGTGTGAGCAGGGCGGGTGCCAGGCAGTCCCTCTGGAACAACGAGGGCTTGTTTTTCCCCACGGGAAAGAGCTGTGAAAGGCCACGCCGGGGCCCCGAGGTGCTTTCACTTCTCCTGCTTGCTCCTACCGAGCCGTCCTGCAGGTAGGGATCCTGAGGCTGGGTTATAAACCCCGCTGTGGAAATGTTCCCAGCGCTGCCGCGACCCTATTAAATGCTCTGGCAGCCAAGCGAGCTTGTTTATGGGAATTTCCTGGGTATTTTGCCAGCTTATGGGATAAAAGTTGGGGTGACCTCCCAAACGGTGCCCTCTCCAGGATCCTACATGCTGAATCTGGCAGCAGGGCTTTGCTCCTGGTGATCAGCCCCTGGTAAGTGCAATCTTATTTTTCAGTCTTATTCCAGAAGGCTTGAGTGTAAAGCTCTGTTATCGCCCAGCATTACATCAAAACCCATCACAGCCCAGAGAATGGCATGCGAAGGCCTGAGGAAGCGGGGTATCACCCCCTGCATCTCTGTTTCGGTGGCACGATCGGATGCCAGGCACCAAATTATCTCTGCCCCGCTGTTACGCGCTGCAGCCAGCCTGAGATGCGCCACGTCTGGGGTGTCAGCTCAGAGAATCTGGGCAAGATCTGATCTCAGCGTTAGATAGCTCCTTTCACGGGCTCACGTCTGCTTGTTTTTGGTTTCTGATGCGTAAGTAGTGAAAGCAAAATCTTGGGGTTTTTGTTTGTAGTCCGGTGCCTTGAAAGCAGGATCCAAGCGAGCTCCAGGCCAACAGTTCCTGTGCATCTGAAATCCCGTATTCGAGGTAAGGTTTCTGGGTATAAACACATCAAATTCGGTGTGGGGATGTCACTTTTTTTTTTTTTTTAATGGATCTCAGCCAGCCTCCAGGGACTTGCCTCTGGTTTTCTTCAGAAAAACCGAGTCCTCTGCTATCAGCCCTTCCCTCACGTCGTCTTCCCAGCAGGCTGGTGGCAGCAGAGGAGATGCGTGGGGTCAGCTTCTCTGCCTTTTAACGGGGTAAGGAGACCCCTCTGGACTCCAGCAGAGCAGGAACAAGCTCGGTGATGGCAGCCCGTGTCTTCAGACAGCCCGAAGCAAGCTCCCCAGACGTGCCCAAACTCCTGCATTACAGCCTCCTGCGTTTCCCAGGCTGCCAGCTCTGCAGAGCCCTTTGCCTCAGCGCGGTTCGTTTGCGCCCCTGCTAATTGTCAGAACAGGAACATCCAGTTGCGGTCCCCACCTGATAAATAGGATCTTCTTTGCATCTCTGTAGGTGCTCAGGGCCCCAAAGCAACTGGCAAAGCCTGCGGCCACCTCCGTAGCGTTGCGGAGCAAGCAGGCTCCTCCACCCTAAATTTTATGACCTGTTCAAGTTCCTGTGGCCCCTTCCCCAAGTATTTCACACCTAAGATGTGTGATCAGCATTAAAATTGTCGATGAACTCACCCAGAGCCAGGCTCTGACACCTCGTTGCCCAGACACGAGCAGGATTTGTGCATGCTTGGTGCAGCCTGCTGAGCCCAAAACTTGGTTTTCTCCTGCTATAATGCAGTGAAATTGGATCATGTTTTGGGGCTTGCTTCTCTCTGAAGGCAATGCAACACTTCTCACATCAGGTAGAGAACGGGCTCGTAGCATAATCCTTCAAAATCTGGTTAGATCCACATTGGAGAAACCTGGCTAGATAAGAGAAGGGAGAAAAAATCTGGTTAGATAAGAGAAGGGAGAGGTCATGCATCCTGCTGCTCCATCACCCAGCTTTGTAATGCTCACATGATTAGGGAAAAACACCCCAAACCCATTTTCCACCCTGTAAATGACACTCCACAAACATCTTTCTGATCCCGTGACTGTTACTTTCTAATTGATAATTAACGTTGAAAGGCCACTTCCTTTAAGTGAGGCTGCCGGGGTCGTTCTGGCAGCATCCAAACAAGCTGTGGTCATGCAGTAAAGTAATTAAACGGTTGTATTAATAGAAAAAAAAAAAAAGAAAAAAAAACTATCCTTCATGGGCCATGTACAGAAATAGCAGAGGCATTGTACACCCCTTCCCTGTCCTTCCTACCCCCAGAGTCCCATCCCTTTACTATCTGACAGAACCAAAAATCACAAACTGAGCCCAACCTTTACCCAAACCTTAATTATTAGGAGGGGCTTAGCTCATAAAACTCCTCTCTCCGTTTTGCCACCCCGGTCCCCAGCACAACCAAACCCAAGGGCTTTAACACACACAAAAAAGCCTCCTCCTGCCTCACATCCCTGCTCCGAACTCCCACCCCATGCATGCGTGGTCACTGCAAGCACTGGTGAACTTCACATCATGCTGTCTGGCCCCATGACATGTGATAGCATCTCTCTGTGTGGTTCCGTTGTTTGGATAGATTTATTTATTATTTTTTTACATCAGTTCACAAGATTCGGGAGCCCGCGTGAATAGTTGTTGGAGGAAGTGATGATAGGGGAACCAGCTGCGGTCAGGCAGATTTAATTTTCTTTCCCATGCAGAAGCTTTGATCACCGAAAGCCTGCGTCTGAACCTCTGCAAAACTCTGCAAACTGCCTTGAAAAAGGTAAAAAAACAAAAAACACCTATTTTGGATGGTACATTGAGTTGGGGTGGGGGAAGAGTTTGCCTAAAACAATGTGGTTCCCAAGATTTATGCCAGTCTATGGATCTGCCTCCAAGGAGCTGCCCACGTGATGTTTTTCTGACTAAACCAGCACTGTTCAGGGGTGTGGGCACTTAGGTATCCTTGTATTTTTAAATTTTGTTTTGTTTTATTTTTACATTTTCATTGCATAGCAGGCCACGCGTCGGTGCGTCCTTGTCCTTGCATCCCAAGGGGAGCAAACCCAAATCTGAGATCCTGGCTTGCACCAAAAGGCCCTGGAACAGGGTCTTGTTGTGATGTTAATTGGCGTTTATTGACCTGCTTTGCTGTTCGGATTCAGTGGGGCTTTCAAATACACTTATGTAAGGGCAGCCCGGCTCTGCCCCTGCCAAAAACCTAATTGCTTTTGAGGGAGCACGTCTGCGCTGGACATCAGCGAGGCTCCTGTGTTCCTCCTCTGCAGCTCAGCGTCTCTAACAACTGCTTTTTCTGCACCAAATTCCTCCAGGTAGGGACTCAGAAATCCTCTTCTGGCTCTGTTCGTAGAGTTTAGCCTAATCTTTGTTTCGGGAAAGTTGTTGGGGTAGAAAACTCCTTGCAAAAATCCTTCCCTGCTCCCACCCGGCTGAATGTTTCTCCCCTTTGCTCCTGCTGGCTTGCTTTTTGATAAGATACCTGTCAAGGGAAAAAAAGTGTGCCTAGCATTGCTCCGATGGAGATAAGGAAAGGGTTTCTTTTAATGTTCAAGATCGTTGTGCTAAAACACAATGTTTTACCCAGAGAGGGAACAAGTATGATAACAAGACCAGCTTTGCTAATTGGATTATTGCAATTTAAATATATTCCTTTGCATATATGAGGTACTTAGCCTTTTTTTTTTTTTAATCCTGTCAAACCATCTTTTCTTGATAACTGTAAATGAGGGGAGCACCGTGCCCTAATTAAACTGTTTGTTATGAGTGAGGCTCAGCTTCTCCTGGCCGCTGGGAGAGCAGCTGATGAACACAGGAGGCCTTTTTCTGGCATGGTCATGCTGGTGACAGCACCCCAAGGTGCTTTTTGATCCCCACACAAGGCTGTAGGTGCAGGACGGTGGGTTTAAGGGTTGAAATACAGCAAGGAGCAGAGGCTCGGGGGCGCTGAGGCGGTGCTGGGGCAGGCTGGCAGGACCCGGCGTGCCGGAGCCGGTCGCTCCGGGCGAGCTGGCACACCAGGGGATGCTCAGCCCCGTGCCAAGCCCCGCGGCTTTCCTGCCTTTTTTCCCCCTGGGGAGGCGTTTTAAGCTCTGTGACGTGGCTGTTTTTGTTTCTCAGACTCGCCGGCGAGAGATGGGGAGGAAGCTGGATCTCTCCAAGCTGACCGATGAGGAGGCCAGGCACGTCTGGGAGGTGGTTCGGAGGGACTTCGACCTGCGGAAGAAAGAGGAGGAACGGCTGGAGTGAGTATCCACACCACGGGGTCTGGCAGATGTCTCAGTATTTAGTGGGGGAGATCGGTGGTCAGCAATTTAGTGGGTCCTGGGAGCCCATGGGGTCCTATAGGATCTCCGAGAAATAACTGAACCTGTCATCGGTAGGCTTAAATATGTTGTGTGTGCCACTCTGGGCAAGTTTTAGGGAGCCACAGGTTGGGAAAAGAATTGAAAGCCACCGAACGAGCAAATAGATCTATGTTCATACCCTTACAAACAGGGCATTTGACAGAGATGATTTCTCCCCCAGATCACAAGGGGAGGGTGAGGGGATGAGAGTCATCCTTTGCTAGGGATTTCCCCTAGGATGCTCGCCCTGGAAGAAATCAGCCTCGATCTCAGCCACAGAAGAAGCAAGTAGGTCTGAAATATTCCCCTTTTCATGAGCTGCGGGAGGGCATGGGAGCCTCGCTGGCTTGCTGGTGCAATTAGCTGGGAGATTGGGTGATAGCTGGTAGGAAAACTGGTTCACCTGCCGGGGGGGATGGCAAAACACGGCATGGCAGTGGGTGTCCTCGGCTCCTGCAGCTCTGCCCCTCCGTGGAGATGGACAAGGAAGGGAGCATGCCTGTATAAAACAAAATGCAAGGAAAAAGGGTTAAAAATGCCTGTTTTCTTGAGCTGTGCGTCTAGAAGCTGGTTTGTAGGGCTGGCACGGTCTGCAGCATCATGGGTTTTCTGTTTGGGGCTTTGTTTTTGGTATCCCCATAGAAATGTACTGCTCAACGTTAGCACCGTGTTGCTAGCAACGCTGCTAGGAGGGTAAGCATCTGAATATCAAAAAGTAGACGCCCAATTGGGTCTTTATACTGATTTTACGTGTTCCAGAGCCTGGCTTAATGTAAGCTGGAGCTGCCCCAGCATAACAGTGAATGGTGTGCTGGCAGCAAGCTGGCTTTAAAAATCTCCATGGGGAAAAAGAAAAAAAATAAAGAGCTGATCCCTAATCCCAGTGCAAGGATCTGGGGGGGCTGGAGGGACATGAGTGGCACCTGGCGATGACCTGGCAGAGCTTTTGCCTTATGTTTTGCCTTCGTTTTTCCACGGCAAAGCCCTGGAGGAAAGTTTAGTGGTGGTGGAGCCAGCCAGGTACAGCAGAAACCCCGTGAAGCCTGCTGCTTGCTCGAGGTGTGTGGCCCAGGCTGATTTCTGCTCTGGAAAAGGCAGCTTCCAACCCTGCCTAGGCGGAAAACAAGCCTCGTAGGACCTTCCCTACAAGTCAAACAGCGTCTCGCAACCGTAGCCCCAAAGGCAAACATATTTGGGCTGGTGCAGAGAACAAACAGAGAGCCTTCAGGCAGAGCCTTCGGCCCCTGCTCTGGGCAGGTGGGTGGAAATGTGTGTTTTGGCTGGCCCTGCTGGCTGTTGCTGAGGGTCCCTCCTGCATGGGGACCAGCCCTGATAGCCAGGTCTGGTGGCAGAGAGGACGTGCTCCCAAAATTGTTCCCATTAGCTGGGCTTTCACGGGAGCATCACGAGCATCTCTGCCAGCTGTGGCCAGAACCTCACTGCACAGGCACCCTGTATTTGATATAAATCTGTGCTGAATTTAGCACCGAGGGACTGGATCAACACCTCTCTTAATTCTTCCTAATCTCAGATTGTAACCTGCTCTGAATCCAGAGCCCGGCTGCTTTGCTTTGGCTCAGCTTATTTAACCCCCGATTTGTCATTAATTAGATTTGCCCTCCAGCTGTTTTCCACAAGCTGTGGGGCTCGGGGTGCCCCCTTGGAAAATCATTCCCTGAAATGATCGAGGGTTACGGAGTTTGCCACGTGAGAGGTGGCAGAGCTTGGTGAGATTATGTTATATTACTGCCCACCACCTAACGCCTGTCCCTCCCGTTTGGGGTCTTTCTGCAGGGAGCTGAAGTGCAAGATCGACCAGGAAAGCAGCAAGAGGGCGTTCCTGACAAACCAGTCCCACCTCAACGAAACCCACTGCGTCCACTGCCTGCAGCCCTTCAAGTTCCTGCTGAACAGCAAGCGGCAGTGCCTGGACTGCCACTTCTACACCTGCAAGAGCTGCAGCCGCTACAACAAGAAGGAGCAGGGCTGGGTCTGCGACCCCTGCCGCCTCTCCAGGTAGGGGGAAAAAATCTGTCTGGGGTCATGGGGTGGTGAGGGAATTGGGGTGCTGCTGTTCTCCCAGCCCTGTGGCGATGGGACGCTGGCTCACCCTCTGTCCTCTCTTGGAGCAGGATTGTGAAGATCGGGTCCCTGGAGTGGTACTACGAGCACGTGAGGTCCCGGTTCAAGAGGTTTGGAAGTGCCAAGGTGCTGCAGTCCCTCTACGGCAGGCTGCAGCCAGGGCAGCGGGACAACTCGGCATTTCTAGGTGAGGGCGAGCACCGGGATGATACCCCCGAAACCTCAGGGTAGGAAGCCTTGAGCTCTGTCTCCAGCAAAGATTAATTCCCTCACCTTGCCTTGCATTCCTCGGGCAAGGAATTTGCTTATCAGACGCGCTGGCTGCCCGCAAACAGCCCCCGGGTTTGCTCCGTGGGAGATGTGATGGGTTTTGAGCCCTGTGTCGGCGGCGAGGTGAAGCCACGTCTGTCTGGCGTGCACGGCCAGCAGGCACGGAACCCGCCACGGCCACGCCAGGCCCTCGGGATTTTTAGGCAAAACGCCTTCCTGCTGGGAGTCTGCTGAGGGCAAGGAGTAAAATGTGTCCTCGCAGGAGAGGGGAAGTGATGGCTGTGGTTACCCAGCATCATGCGTGTCAGCAGGTGGCAGTGAATTTCAGGCTTTTAACCCATCTCCGGCCTTGAAAAGTCAATGTGGATTTTATTCCCACCTTGAGAAGCCCCAGAAAACTCTGCACAAATACCATCAATATGAGCTGATTCAGGCTTGTTCTTCTTCAATTGTTCTTCTGTCCAGACCACTCATGGCAGAGCTATCAAAGAGCATGGAGGATAGAGACAGCAAACATGAAATTAAAGGGCTGAGAAACAACTTACACAGTGTGAGAATTCATCAGACCACAAAGCAAGGCCAATCCTAGGGAAAACCAGCCCCTGTCTGAGGATAGCAATGCTTTAGACTTCTTTAAATTGAGATTCTGCCTTCTTTTTCACAAAGGCAGACAATTTTTATTTTTTTTTTTATCATTGCTTCATTAACAAGGCTTGACCCTTGAGGAAGCAAGAACATCCTCGCAGGATGCTGCTTGCAGAAGTACAGCACGGTGCGAGAAGGATGAATTGTTTGCTGTGGCTACCCCTCCTGCTGCATTCCCAGCCTATGATGTGTTTCATTAGGACTGGGGAAGTGGTGGCAACGAGCTTTTTGATTCTTTTTTACAAGTTCTGTCTCCGAGTACGTGTTTTGTTACCTCTAAAGAGTCTTTTGATGGCTGTGCCTTGTGGTGGTTAGAGACTGAGAACTCCAGCGAACTGCAGCTCTGAGCCTTGTTCTGTGCAACCGACCTGGAGAAAATGTATTTATTTTTCATTATTTTTTTATGTTTTCTTCTCATTTAGGTCTTCATGACAGAGTTTACAGCCTGCCAGACATAAACAGTAAGTTGAAAAGAGAACTGCAGCGTGCAGCTTGCAGTTCGGGAGAGGCTGCTGCTGTCTCCTCCTTTTCCCAGCCCCTGGCTGTGAGCTGCAGAGCTGCTGGGACAAGGAGGATGTCTCGCCACTGCTCAGCTCCTGCCTGCAGTGCACCCAGGGCTCCCAAGGGTGGGTTCTGGCACAACTGGGATTTTTGGTTACAGCCAGACTCAAAGCTTGCCAGCGTTCATAGCGATCTCAGTGCGTCTACGTTGTATGCTTAAAGCTGGCTGTGTTTGTGGTGAACACACTGAGTTTGTGGGTAGAAGTTGTGTTTGTTAGGAGGAAAGGGTTGGTCAATTTTGCCTTTTGATAGGATGAGAGAAATCCCAGTCCCTTCCCATCCTGTGTCCCCTCCCCTTTTACTCGTGCAATGCCCGCACTCTGGCATAGCGTGCCAAAACCAAATTAACAGAGGGAGGTGTTTCTGGTGTGGACTGCTTCATCCCAGAGGAGAAGCAAGGTGCGATGTGGTGGGGACTCACCTGCCCCGGGTGACGGGTGCTGAGCTCCCCTGCACAGCGTGCCCCTGTCCTCCCTCCAGGTGAATGCCAGCTCCGTGCCGGCGGCAGCATCGGGGATGACAGTGATGATGAAGACGATGCCCTTCGTGGGGCCGAAGCAGAGTGTTACAGCAGGGTAAGCCTCTCCTTCTGCCACCCCTTCTGCCTCACTCTGTGCCCTCGACTGCTGCTGGCCTGCCAGAGGTGGTGGTGGCTTTCTGTTCCTGCTGGGGAGTGTATCTGTCCTTGCAGTATGTACGAAACCTTTCCTTGAAATGCTGTTAATGTTACATACCTCCTGTTACACGCACACCATTCCAGCCTACGGTTACATGCTGCACTTCACACCCTCAGTACTTCATTTTTCATCTACCCTTCTGAAGTCTCAGGGGCTTGTCCAAGCTGCTCCTGCCCCAAGACACCCAAAGACCTCACAGACACGGGGAGATCTCACCCACAGCATCCTTGGCTGAAGTCAGGGGGATGCTGCAGGACCCGAGAGCAGCTCCTGGACCTCTCTGAGGGGTCAAATAGCTCAGCTTGCCCGCTGAGCCTTTATAAACCAGGAGAGAGTCTCTCTCTGCCTGTTGATGGCCACAGTCCTGATCCAGAGCTGTGGAAGCCAGGAGCCTGCTTTTCCTTGACTCCACTATAAGCATCTGCTGTCCTGTACACCCAGCTCCTTGCAAACGGGACCAGCTGTGGTTCACGCTGAGTTCTCCTTTCTCGCACTTTCCATGCTAAGATGCGCAAGACAAAGCGCCTGCTGTCTGTCCATCCCTTTGATTTCGAACTGGACTCGGAGTACTCTTCCCAGTCTCGCCGCCAGTCTGTGCAGCTTTCTCCAGCACCGATCAGCCCGGATGGCTTTCAGGTACTGGTGGGGTGGTGGGGTTGCTCTTCTGCCTCTCCTCCTCCTCCTCGTCACCTCTGCCACCTCCTCGGCCAGCTTTGCAGCTGCGTGGCAGTGCTGAGAGGCGGCAGTGCTGATTCCCCAGAGCCCTGCTGTATCCTCTCCCATCCCATTGCCACGTTAGGACAGCTGAGTGGAGTGGGATGGTCAGTCAGATGAGATACCAAGAGACTTTCTGCATCTCCCCCTTCAGATCCCTTGGCTGATCTCTGCAGGCAGCTGTTTCCTCGTGTTGTTGTAGGGCTATGGGACACTCTAATTTCCAGCTAGCTTTTGGAAACTGAACATTCACTAGTCAAGGGACAGGGAAAAAAAAGAAAACAGCCTGGTCTCCCATCATACCGTCTAGTCTGGGGCTGTTTTTCCCACGTGGTGGCACTGGGGATGTAGCGTTTGAGTGTCAGCCCCAAAAGGGGGGCGCAGAAAGGAGCCCGGTGCAGCCCGGAGGCAGCCGTGTTATCAGGGCCCCACGCCTGCTGTGCTAGCACCCAGCTGCCTGACCCCGGGCTGTGATAATTTAAACTCCGCTCCTAGCTAGATCTAGGATATTCTGAGACACGTCACAAAGGCTGTAAAACAAACAGGCAAACAAAAAGCCAATCCACACAATTCCACGTAAATTGATACGAGTTTGGGGCAAGGAAGTAGATCCATTCTTTCGTTATCTAAGCCTGCCCTTGTGCTGCAGGATTTAACATCTAGGGAAGGCTGACCTCTGCCAAGATGATCCGAATCCAATTTATCATTTTCAGATATGTGGAGCAGAAGCTCGTTATTATTTTAGTAAGAAAAAGGCCATGGTGTTTTAAAAGAGTGGATCTCAGGGACCAAGTTTTTTTCTGCCTAGCTGCAGCGACTCTATACCCATTTCTCATAAAAATTAACACTGCCCCCTGGCAGTGATCCTAAGTATTGCTCAGAGTTGAGCAGCAAGGTTAAGAGGCCTTTAAAAGGCCTTTAAGAGGTTGTTAAAAACTGGCATTAGAAAAGGTCAGCCCATGCATGTATTGAAGGACAAAGCCAGGAACTGCTCGGGAAGGGAGAGGAGCCCCCACTGGCAGCAGCCCAGCATCAATCCTTGCCTCTCAGTCCTTCCCAGGCTTCCCCAGCTCGGCTGAAGATGCCCCCCAGGAGCACAGGATGGAGGAAGCAGGACTGGCAGCAGTCTTCCACCACATCTTGCAAGAACAGGAACAGCACCCAAGCCCTCCAGAGCAGCTCTTCAGCACAGAGGTTCATCTCACCATCAATTCGCGGAGAAGGAGCCTGGAAAGAAACACAAAACCTGGTAGGTGTGTGGGGCTGGACTCCTCCTCTCCTTCTGGGGAAAGGTAGCTGCAAGAGTGATATATATATATATATATATATATATATATATATATATATATATATATATATATTTGCACAAAAGAATCATCTGAAGTTATTTGGCTGCAACGGGCTGGTCTTGTCCCCAACAAAATCCTGGTCACTGGCTGCACAGGCAGGCTGTGGGGTCTGTGGTTTATAAATACCCTAGCAAATGAGGGCACAGAATTTGCCTTTTATTACTGCTGTCTCCTGCTGTGACAGCAGAGCCAGGAGGACTGAATGCCATCTTTTGCATAGGCAGCTGTGGGTCTCAAACTGCCTGGCTGTATTTTCCAGTGTTTGGCTTCCAGAGCACTGGGAAACACTGGATAAACCTTAATCTGTACCATTTAAATTCCCACTCTGAGCCCCTCCGGGCTGTTAAATCAGCAGGGCCCTCAGGCTTATTAATTCCCTTTCCTGCAATTGTTCTTGTCTCATTTGAAATCCTCCTTTAAAAGGTGTTGGGTCTGCTCTTTTAAATGCTCCCTCCTAGGCTGGTACCCCTGAGATAAGTAATTTCCCAGCACCTGAATGCATGAAGTGCAGTGTCCAAACCTGGACTGCCACAAAATCAAGAAGTCACTGTCAGTTTTTGGTTTAGGGCACAGCTGTTTGGGGTGCGAGAGGGTGAGGATGATGCTCCTTGTTCCCAGCTCCACCTCAGCAGCTCTGCTTGCAGCTCTGACAAAGGGCAGAAAGAGTAACCTGGAGAAGGGACTGGTTATTTGTTTGTCTTAGGGATGGGACTGATGTCCAGGAGTTCGTATGAACCTCTGGGATCTTTGTACTGAAGCCTTCTCTCTCCAAAAGGCAGCCCCTGGGGTGAGCAGCCCCGGTCCCCATACTCTGCAGACATGGACACTTCTGACGAAGATGTGAACGGAGCCCAGAAGGTCCCTGCCTACCTGCCCCACCACGTGAAACGCCGGAGCAGAGCCTCGTCCCAGGAGAACATCAGCCACTCTGGAAACCAGGTATTGAGCGGGCTGCAGAGCCCCTTGCGGGACCACGGCTGTGGCCAAGGCTGTGTTGCCACAAACCACCCTTGTTATCTGCCAGGTGTGGCTCAGAGGTGAAGCAGACCCACAAATAACCACGAAACACACAATACATTTGCACAAAACCATTGTCCCCTTCCGCAGAGGTGCAGTTTGGCACCGGCGCCTGCCAGGTGCTGGCCCAAAAGGGATTGTAGCTCCCTGCATGCTCCGGATCCTTCTTTCTGCAGGATCCAGGGGAGAAGGGAGTGTGGCCATTACACTTTGCCAAGCACGGCGGTGGGATGTGGGATGACCTAGGGGCTGGCTTGTCCCCTTGTCACAGCCGGGGGGCACCAGCAAGATGAAGGCCCAAGGCCCCGCTCTGCCCCCAGCGCTGTGGGGACCTGCAGAGGTGGCCATGACATGGGAGCAGGCCCCGGGGCATGGAGCTGCATTTAGGGCTTATCCTTCCCTCATGGCGAGGGAGAAGAGTGGTTTCTCTGCCCCGTTAGCATTACACAGGAGCACCCTGGACCTTTCGCAAGGCCTCCTTCCAACCTTCCTCTCCTGCAGCCATGGCTGGGAGAAAGCCAAGTGCTGGCGTTTCCCTTTGTACGCGCTGTTGTTGCAGTAACAAGCCTGCCTTCAGTGCTGTCAATTCTCCAGTCTGTCCCCGTTAAACTGCAAGCTACCTATAGTTTTGTGTGTCCCCTTTCTTCAATTAAATGTGCCGGGGCTTTATGATCAGGTCAAGGCTTGGAGATGTAATCAGCCTCGAGATCCTTTTCTTTCGTGGTGTGGAGTGTTCCAGCGCCGGCAGGACTGGGTCAGGCCGACCTGCCATGTCCCTCCCCTGAATGAGAGCAGGGGAACAGTCTAGAGAAGGGTATCGAAAGGGCTGCGAGCTTGTGTTTTAATTGTAAATAAGGACCTGCAGTCCTTGACGCCGCCTTTGAGAAAGGTCGGTGGTGAGAATGGTAAAGCCTCCCTCAGCCCTCTTCAGCAGCAAAATGCACGGTGCTGCTTGACTACACAGATATATGGGGAAGAAATCTGCTGGTTTCTGCTTACAGGGGTGATTCTGCCATCCTGGACCGTGTTTTTGGCAATGCATCTGTAACCACAGCCATCCCTCATCACCATGCTTCATGTGCCTAAGCAGGGAGAAACCTTTCCTTTCCTTCTCTTTCTATCAGCATATGTTCAAATTAGTGAATGTGCTTCGTTTTTCAATCCCCAGTAAATGGAAAAACCTTGGACTGGGTGTCCTTAATGAGACCACGGTACGTTAGGCATGAAATGTGCACAGTGCTTTGCAGTGGGGAAATGGGGCCAAATTCCTACCAGTGCCTCAGATGACTTCCTTCATCGCCTCCGCAAGCTCTTGCTTAAGCGCGGTCCGGTGTGCTCTGTTTTGCTCCATCACACCAGTATGAAGGCTGCTGTGGCACCTCGTCACCCTAATGGTTATGAGACATCTTCTAATTCCTAATTCAGCCCCATTTGTTCTTATGCCAACACCATTCATTAGCTTAAATAGCTCTTCATCCTTCCTGCCCTTTATGCCGCTGATGCATTTACAGCTAGCAACCGCATCCCGCAGAGCCTTCCCCCAGCCCAGCAGGAAGAAACCAGGCTCCATGCTGGCCCATTAACTTCGGAACAACGCACGTGTTGCTGTCACTGTTGGCCCAGGAGAGGCCAGGTACAAGCCCAAAGAAGAGAGAACATCTTTCAAAACTCTGAGCTAGTTTGCAATTCCACAGCAGGCAGGGAGATGCAGGTTTCAGTGCTAGACAGCTCCAGCTGGTACTTCAAGATGTTGGACTGTGCCCTGTAGGGTCCAGAAGCATCTTTATGAACACGAGTTAACCTGGTATCACATCCCATAGCCTGTTGCTTCACAGGCAATGTTTTCCTTGTTGTCTTTTGAAGGTTTTGAGAGATGAAGAGCACATCTCTTTACCCTGTGTCACTTCCACACCACAGATGAAAACCCTCTTCTCTAAAACTGCTTTGGGTGCAAGTTCATCAAAACTGTGTTTGATCTGAAGATCTCTTTTGCTTTAACTCTGGCAGGAGCATGCTTTTCAGTGCCTAACAGAAGAAACTTAAATTTTCTGGTAACAAAACCAGAGACTGGTCACTAGCCCTACAACTCCAGGAGCTGCAGGTGTTGAAATAAAATCCAAAATGAAAAACATAATTCTTAAATCTGATGAAACTTGAAAAGAAGCCCTGAGCTGGGAAAAACTCATTCACACACAAAAATGTTCGGTTTCAGCAGAGGCCTAGGTCTTGGTCCTGAGCAGGACCAAACCACAAGGAAAACCAACTCTTTTACTGTTTGGGTCTCTCCCCAAAAGCCATTCTGGTGCACTTAAAGGGACCTTAATTCTGGATTTCCAAAGCTGTGATGTCAGTCTTAGGCTGCTTTTCCTCTGATTCCTACAATCTGACTCCTTCATTTTTACCTAAAGCTTCTGTTAGGTGTCTTGGGTCTCTCACAGATGTGTCCTGGTTAGCTGAGAGGCTGGAGACAGCACCTCTGCTAAAATAACCTGTCTTCAGTCCCTATAGAAAATGCCATTTGCCCTAGCTGATGTCTTGCTTATGGGCTGTGATTTATTTCAGTTTGTTCATTTAAGCTTTTCAACAGAGACTGGTGTTCGGCAGCCTTTGAGCACACCTTGTGTTGCACAGTGAGCACCAGGCGTAGGAACCAGCCTGGCCTGTGAGGAAGTGTGAAAAAAAAGCTCTTCAGCTCCTGCCTTCGTCAACAGCAAACCCTGCATTATGCTCTGACCTCTCTGAGCTGCGGTACGGATAGCGCAGGTAGCACCAGGTGCTCGGTTCACGTTGGTCTCCTCTTCTGAGCTTTATGGTCCATCGCAGACCTCTCATTGTCACCGGAGTGGCACAAGAGTCAGGCCCAACAGTACCAAGAAACCACTTACAGCTGGATTGGATTGCTTCCTGCCTGGAGGCTTAATGCTGCTTGAGGATGCATTCAATCCAGGACGGTAATTACCGTGCTCTGCTCTCCCCAGTGTCAGGTTTTTATGTTCATCTTCACTTAAGCAGATGCAATCTCTCCAAGCTGTTGTGAGGATCTAATTAATCAAACACCAGCAAGCACAAAAACTCAGTGAGAGGATGGAAATGTTATAAAAACAAAGCAAAGCCCTCACATCCCTTTGTTGCGGCATTTACTTATTGCATTTACTGCTCGCTCCCTTTTGAATGGGAGGCAGCCACTCAGAGCACGAGTAACGTGGAAGGTGGTGTTTTATCTATGTAAAATGGGCAATATTTTTCATCATTTGTATTTTATTTGTTTTGATCAAAGGAGGAAGACTTGTTTTGGAAGAAAGAAAAACTTGCATTTCTAAAGGAAGAAGAAAAAAAAAAAAGCTTCCTTTTATGTTTGCAGTGATTTAGCCACAAAAATTTGTCATGGCTCTTGAGTATAGAAAGCAATTTCTCTTTGATTTCCAGAATTTTGTCTGACTCCTCTCCTGGTCACTTTTTCAGCTGGAAGAGGAAGGAAGGGAGACAAGAGGGGCAAGAGTCTTGATAAATCAAAGCATTGAGTAGCGAGAAAATTTCAAAGTGTTTTGGGAAAACTTTCAGTTTTACATTTTCTATCTGGATTTTTTTCATTGGAAATTCCTTCCTCCCTCCCTCTTCCTCTCCCAGTGCTGTATTCAGCAGGGGGCAGTGGGGTAGTAGCTGCATGAAAAATGTCATAGCAGGGAGTGAAAACTGACGTTGAGTTGAATTTGAGGCAGTACAAAAATGATGGGAAGAGAGTTTGCTGTGTCACGTCCCGATGCCTCTAGACATCAAGGGACACTCTGAGGCTGGTGGTGAGGGTTTATTATAGTTTATTATATTTATTTAGTGGTTTATGGAGTAAACCCTTCTCCAACCCTCCTCTCCTGCTGTGACTTCTTTGGGGAGCCTGTGGTGGTGGTGCCTTGCTCTGTTTGTTCCGCTGGTTGCATGTGCCCTGGGCTGTGTTCCCACCACCCTAGCAGTGGTGGTGGCTCTGTCCTCTACTCCTTTTCTCTCTCCTTTCCTCTAGATTCATGAGCTCAACAAGCGCATGTCCGCAATCGAACGCATGCTGAACCGCTTGGAGGAAAAAATCCTGGTGCACTCTGCCGAGGTAACAGGGCAAAGCTGGAGAGAAAATGTGGATGGTGCCCGTCCCTTCCCCTCCTATCAGCTGGTCCCCGTGCAAGCTTCTGCCTTCCCTGCCCCTTCTGCGCGAGGAAAACAACTGGATTTTGCTTTGGTTCTCTATTAAATGCTAATTTCAAGAATATTTAGAGTAAGAGAGCAGAGGCAAGAAGGATTTCTGTATCTCCTCTGGGCTGCCCTTGTCTTACTGTGCCATCAGTCTCAGAAGAAAGCAGCTAAATTAAGTTAAAGTTGGGCAACGATGTAGAATCTGTGAAAACAGAGGCCACTTAACATTGATTTTGGGTTTCTAACTTTAGACTGCGTGCTTCTCTTTTCCTTCATGTGAACCCGTTAGGATGAGGTGCGCTGGCCACAGATGGCTCAGTAGTGATAATTACAGAGAAGTCCCCCAGGCATCTAAAAAACAATACAATATCTAATTCTCTCTCAAATTCTGAATGGGGACAGCTGTTCAGTGTTTCTGTCAGAAAATCCAGCCAGCAGAGCAGGAGGTGTGCATGTTTGCAGGTGTCACCAGGTTGGCAGAGCTGCAGCCATCAGCAAAACCTCCAAAACATGGGTTTGATCACCTAACCAGAACACCTAGAATGGTCTGAGGACTAGAAAAAATTATATATGGGATCCTTTAAATGCCAAGTGGTTTAACCCAGGAAAGAAAAGATAGGGGTGAGCGGGACAGAAGTATCCAAGCAGGCAGAAAGGTGCTTCAGGGAGAAGTAAAGCTTTGTTTCCACGTGTGTGGCAGATCAGGGTAGAGGTAATGGGTGTAAGCTGCCGCAGGACAGCTTTGGGTTAACTATTAAGGGAAGCTTTCTAGCAGAAAGGATAGCAGGGCCCTGGAATAGGTTGCCTGGGAGAAAGGTTGCCTGCTGCAGATGCCATTATTCGAGGCTGTTAAGAACAGCTTAGACAAAAGCCATCAGGTACGATGCAGGTAATTGTATTCCCGTCTTCACTCGAGGGACAGCGAGTTCAGTAACTTCCAGAGATCCCTTCCAACCGCTGCGAGTTTAATGGGTTTCTTCTGCGGGTAAAATGAATCGTGTGTAATAACAGGGCCGCGTGGAAATACGCCCTCTGTCCTATGGGAAAACGTGCTGCCTGGTTTCTCATCGCAAACCAGAGCACCTAGGGGCAATGATGCAGTACAACCAGGCTCCCCGGGGGGATGGTGGTTCACACAGCTGCTTCTCTCAGCCTGGTGGATCTCTGGGTTGTTGTGAAATGCTCCCCATGGGCCTCAGATGGAATTTATTTTGAGGAGGATGGCCTAAACTTGCTGTTTTGCTCCCCTCCACCTGTGCCCTGTGAAGGAGGTGGTGGACAGGCCTGAGGGATGTGGGCATGGGGTGCTCCTGATCCCCTTTGGTGCTGGACACCCAGCTGTTTTTTTGGTGAGAGTGTCTGGAGCCAGATGCACCCCCTTGTCCCCACGGCAGACCCTTGCACTTACACAGCTCCCTTCTGTCCCTTCCCTGCTCTCCTTTCAGTCTCCGGCCCCAGAGCCCCAGCTCGATCCTGACGCCGAGGAGGAGGAGCTGAAGAGGAAGCTGCAGGAGCTAGCCAGCCACATCAGCGACAAAGAAGTTTCCTCTGAAGAAGAGGAGCGTGAAGAAAAGACGCGAGTGAAGAAACCAGAGATGATCTTCTCCAGCGATGACATGGCCAGTGAGGCTCGAAAGGTGATCCATGCCCTCCTCCCTGTGCTGTTCTGGGCTCCACCTCCGGTTCCTTCCTCCCTTGCTCTATGCCAACGTGCCTCTTGTTTCATCCCACACCTCCCAAATCAAAATTTGGGGTCCCAATTCCGCTCTACTGAGTCAGTGTCACCTGCACTTAGAGCACTGTGCTACCTCCCATCGCCTCCTGCTGCCAGCAACAGGAGGAGAGACCAATTGGTGCCTCTTATATTGAAGCCCAGATTCTCTGGATCTGCCCTAAATTCTGCTACTTTTTGCCCAAAAGGCAGCAGGGAGGATACCAGCACGCTTATCTCAGTGGGGTCAGCCAGGCAATACAGAAGTCGCTCAGCTCAGCTCCGAAGCAGAGACCCAGCTGAGTTACAACAGCCCAAGCAAAAGCAAATCTGCCAAGGGAAACAAAAATTCAGCTTTTTTTTTGCATCACGGTAACAGTTAGAGCAAAACCATGAAATACCTGTGTGGGACATTGAGTTCAAAATGACTGCAGTGGCGTGTAGATGGAGCAGTTTGGGTTAAAGGCTGCGGCAGCATAGATTTTTTTTTAACAGCAACCTTCCTTACACTTTCCTGTTGCTTGTTAGAGGTATTTATGAGGGTGTCTCCTGTTAGAAAACAAAGTGATGATCCGAAAGAAACTTGATCTGCAGTTATCAGACCAGAACTCAGAGTGCATTTATCAGTGGTGGGCGCGAGCCTTAATTAGCATCAGCACCCTCTCAGTCGAGAGCCAGGTTTGGATTTTGCTTAATACTGAGTCTTTTTTTGTGTAAATCTCCTGTGTAATCGGGAAGAAGCCTTCTAACAGGGGAAGGCTGCGGTGAAAGCAGGCATTCCTAGGGGAAAACGTGAAGCTCGGTGCCGCACGGTGAGGGCACCATAAAATGATAAAAGTGGCAGCAGGACGGAGCGAGCCGGTTCTCCGCAGAGCCGCTTGCCTGGAAATACGTGCGGCTGTAAACAAAACTGTTTGTCTTTGTCTCCAGCGCACACATCACCCCAATCTCCTTGGTTTCTAGGGAATTATCAGCCGAGAGAGAGGTGATGAGTTTCTTCGCTCTATTTTTACACGTGCTTTCTGACTGATCGAGCGACGGGGCTAATGCAGGCAGTGCTCACGAGCATTACCGCTGTCAGCGCTCCTTGGGGTGGGAAGAGAGGACACAAGCCCCAAGTCCTGGCCCCGTGGAAATGCAATACTTTTCTTTTTTTGTTACTGACATCCATGCTCAGACCCTGTAAAGCTGTGTTAGACCTCACACTTTTCCAGTGCAGCACCAGAACTGGCCATCCTGGGAGGAAAAAGGGTGAGAGGATGGTGCGGGTTTCCCCGGAGGAGTAAAGCTGTAAGGCAGAGCTGTTGCCCTCCCCTCCTCTAAAACCTTCAGGTGGCCGGATGCTTTGGCTGGCCAACAGCTCCATGACACCACTTCCAGACAGGGAAAGGTCCCTTGGGAACCTCTCTGAAGCCTTCCTGTACCACGGGGAGCCAGCCCGGCAGCAGCTCTGTGCTAATGGCAGCTCCCCACCCGCGTTTCGAGGTGATTCCCTTTGTCACGCCGTCCCCAAGGAAGCATGAGCTGAGATCAAAGCTCTTTTTTAGCCACACTTCCATCTCTGCTGGAGAGCCCTTCAGGAACAATGCGAGCCCTTTAATTATCTCATCTCCATCTTTCCCAGCTCCCGAAGGCCCAATGCCCCTTTTACCCTCTCTCACACTGTTTCGCACACCGTCAGCGCACATTAAAACAATGATAATTTTTAATTTAATTTTTTCACTCCTTCCTTCTTCCTCCTCGCCCTCCATTTTGGCTGTGCTGGGCTTTTGCAGAGGTCGTCGGCTCAGGCTTTGAGCGAAATCACGACTGAAGTCCTGAGAGCCATAAACGCCACGGAGAAAGCGGTCTGTGAGTCGGTGCATGGAGACAGCCAGCGCAACGGGCCCTGTGCCCCCCTCGGAGGGCAGCATCCCAGCCTGGAAGGTGGGAAGGAGGTGGCCGAAGCGTACCGTGAGCTGGAAGAAAATGTAAGGTTCCCGAGAGTTTTCTGGGAACAGGGTGGGAATGCAGAGAGCCTCCTGGATTTCTTGCTTAGCCAGCACAGTAAGGGATTGGAGAGGTTGCGTGTGTGTTCCCCATATATGTATGAAGATCCCGTGATCCTCCAGTGAAAAATGGGGAGGAGATGCCGAGGAGGAAGGTGGAAGGAGCGTGAGGGACCCATGTTCTCGTCCCGTGAGAAAAAATGAGGAAAAAATAGAACTGGAGGAGCTGGACGTGCATTAGCAGTATCAAAGTTTGGGGGCTGTTCAGCAAAATGGTGGCCAGAACCCACTTGGTCAGCTTATGTCAGCACGTGGGGACAAATTAATGTCTCCTAAATTGCGTTGCTTGGACTCACACCCTTGTAGTAGCCAAGGAGGAGGTAAGTGGCAGTAAAAGCCATGGTTTTATGAGGGGAGATAGTTGTGCTCCTCTCAACCTCTTATCTAAACAGCAAAGTCAACACGTTGCTTCCCGTAGTGGCCACACATCCCTGTTCCACACCCCATAGCTCATCTTGGATGTGCTGCGCTCCACACACGTGTGTTTCCCTTCCTGGGTCTGGCATCATTTCTGCACACCCAGAGCAGTTCCTGTGCAAAGCTGCTCAAAGCCAACCCCCCAAATCCTGACCCAAGCAACTCAGCCACACAAACACCCTTAAAAAAGTAGGACCAGATTTGGAGCATCAATTTGTCTCCTTCCCAGCTTGGTCGTAGGTGCCTGTCTCCCCTCTGGGCGCATGGCATGAGGATGCTGATGCTACCCGAGGGGGTCACAGAGTTTTGCTCCTTCTTGTATCCACATCGAGCCTTTTGCTGCATCACCCGGTTGGTAATTGCTCTTGAAAAACCTCGGGAAGGGAGGAAATGAGATGAAAAGCCCTGCCAGAACTGAGCAGTGCTGTCAGTGCTGCGAGGCAGGAAGGTGGTCATAAAACAGCGGCAGGAGCTGTTGTGTCTGGGGCTCAAGAGGAGGAAGGTTAACTTGCAATGTTGTGTTTTTTATTTTTTTTTTCTTGCATTTCAGGTGTACCTGACTGCTGGGAAGACGTACCAGCTCGAGTCGACCCTCGTGGAGCTTGAGGAAGGGGCTCAGCACAGCGGCACGACCGACTCGGAGCTGTCGGAGCTGGAGGACAAAGTGGCCTCGGCAGCCGCTCGGGTGCAGCAGGCAGAGAGCGAGGTGAGGGCAGCCCCGAGAGCTGGTGGCAGCAAACGGAGCCGGCTGGGAGTCTTCCAGGCCCTGCCCATGGGGGTTTGGCTTATTTATTTTTTCTCTCTTTAAAGATATCGGACATCGAGACTCGAATCGCGGCCCTGTCCGCGGCAGGGCTGACCGTGAAGTCGGTGGAAAAGGCAAGGAAGAGCGGGCAGGTGAGTGCTGGGCAGGATGATCCCAATCCTGAGGGATCTGTGCTCATCCCTTCATCAGCACCTTCCCTAGGCACGTATTCTGTGCCTCTGTGAGGCATTCACCTCTCCTCTCGAGAGGACTTGCTTTGAAGTGGTGGAAAGGCAGCCTGTGGGGTGCCTCGGTCCCCCTGTCCCCTTCCCCACCACTGACATCTACCCCTCTCTTGCAGGAGATGTCCGGACTGCAGTTCTTCAGGAGGAAATTCCACAGCCCCCTCGATATCAGCAGTAAGAGCCGTGGCCTCAGGGGTGCTCAGTCACCCATCCTCCAAATTGCTTCATCTGTGGCACCCCGGTGGCCGTGCCACCAAGGGTCTCCAGTGACCTGGGACCTGTCCCAGCAGCTGGGGTGGCTGGGGGTGGCTTCATCCTGACTGCTATCAGCGAGGGCCGCTAGGAAATGACTTTTCTATTTCCCTCTTATCTCGCCCCATGAGCTCACAGGCAGAAAGGATGGTTCTTCTTCCAGATAACGCCAAATAGAAGATGAACGGAGGAAAAGGGGGAAAAGATCATTTAATGCAGAGAAGGAATCGCACTTCCCCATGAATACAGGCAATTTAAAGTTCAGTTCCCCAGGCTGGGAGGTGGCGAGGTCCCCTCTGCCCAGCTGCCCTCCTGGTGGAGAAGGGCAGCAGATAAGGGCAGCGCGGGGGACACGTCAGCCCCACGAGGAGATAGAGGGATGCTCGACCAGGCTGAATGTCACCAGGCGAGCATAATCCCCTCTGCCCAGGCTGGGCAATGGGACTGCTCCATCCCCTTTCAGGTCAAAGACTCATAAAGGAGACCCATAAAGGCAGAAACTGGTGGCAGAGGAAGGGCGATGATGACCAGGTGCCCTTCCTGGTGCCCCAAATGATCACAGAGCCCTACTCCCAGCCTCACCTCTTCTTTCATCACAGGTCCCGACGACTCCTTCGACCGCAACTCAGTGTACCGCGGCTCGCTGACGCAGAGGAACCCCAACGGGAAGAGCAGGAGGGCAGAGCGGCTCTTTGCGGTACGTGGCCGGCTACACAGCCCCCCTTGGACCCCTGGGGATGGATGAGGATCACACTGGCCTCGTCCCATGGGGCAGGGGACAAGCTGAGGCCGTGCTGTCGGTGCCTTGCAGAAGCCCGTGATGACCCACCTGCCCTGAGGAGAGGGGCAGCCTCCTGCTGACGACAGGAGCCCTCAGCGCAGAGCCTCGCCGCCTTCCCCCAGCGCTTGCCCTTCCTCCTCCCGCTGCCGTCTGCCCCTGGAAGCCCGGCCGGGGGGAAGCCAGGACCCCAGCGAGGACCCCGAAAGAAGCAAGGGTGCAGGAGCGTGGCCGGGTCCTCGTGTGGGGGCACACATCCGCGGGGTTCAGCACCTGCTGGTCAATGCCCTTCACCTTCACCGTGAATTCCCAAGCACGTAACTCATAGGCTTGGCTTCAGCAGCCGTAGAGACTCCTAGCAGTCCAGAAATCAGTCCTGCAGTCACCCCGGGGCAGTCTTGTAAGGCTGGAGCCTGGAAACTTTCCCGTTCCAGGTGGATCAAAGCCAGTTTCCTTTTTTTCAAATAAAAATCCTGGTGGCCTGAAGTTCAAAAGATTGAGCCAAGCCAAGGGCTGCAAGTGGCCCAAGGAGGCTTGGGATGGTATCAATTGCTTGTTCAGGCTGTAGTTATCCTGTTACTCGCTGTTTTCCTGCCCTGTCTGCCCATGTAGATGTTATATGTACGTACACTAAGTCATCCAATAAAGCCAATTTTGTGTCCAGAACCTGTGATTGCTCACTTCCCCACAGTGGGGTGGGGGAAAGAACGGGGATAGTAAACTGGGAACTCGTGGTTTGAGGTAATATGGACAAGCAAACGGGACAAAAAGTCCCTGTGTCCTGGTCCCATTTTTTCCACAGGGGGCAGATGCATGTTCAGCGCCCAACCATCCCCCTGCACGGGCAGGAGGGGGGGATCAGCCCTCGCTGAGCGCAGCACAAGGATTAAATAGATTTAACCCATTTCAAGCAGTTTTAAGTGCCGGGGATGAGCCTGCTGGTTTCATTGTCTGATTTCCCAAAAGCAGCATGTGGGAGGGGGGTGCAGAGCCTCCCCCCCTAAACGAGGGCAGGGTGACGGAGGGGAAAACGTCCTCCCATGCAGAATAACGTCACGTCGAGGACGCGGGGATTAACATATTCCCCAGCTATCTGCCTCGGCCGGCTGAAGATAAAATTATGGCCCCTTATGAGTCACGAAAATCCCTTCCCTGATTTGATGAGCGCCGAGCGCAGGGGGCGGCGGGGAGGGGAGAGGAGAGGAGAGGAGATGCCCCGGCTCTGTCCCCGCCGGGGCTGGCCTCTGACATCAGCACGAAACCGGGCATAAAAGCGGCGTCCCGGGGGACTCCGGCTCGGAGGGTGAGCGGGACGGCACCGGGCACCTTGCCTCGAACCACGGTAAGTGCTGGGGGCTGGGACCACCGTGTATCTCTGCCTCGCCACGCTTTCGTCCGCTGGGTGACGGCTCCAAGGAGCTGCTCTGGCCCCGGGGATTTGCTTCGGTGGGGTTTCCAAGGATGGGGCCCATAAAAGCCAGAGCTGGAGCCGGCTGCTTCCCCACGCCGAGCCTTCCTCAGGCTTTCTGCAAACTTCTCCTCCGCAGGCATCGCTGGGAACAAAGCTGCCGAGCTTTGCTCCGCCGCCCTCACCCCGGCAGGTGTCTGCAGAAATAAAACCCATCGCCCAGCCCGTGCTGCCCTGCGGGGTGTTTGTGCTCAGGCACCGACCTCGCTGCCCGGATGGCACCCCACGACGCGCCCCAGCAAACCCCACGTGCCCGCGGCCACGCGATGCCGTTCTCACCTCCGTCCCTCTCTTTTTTTCCAGCTCCCCCTGGGACAGGGATGAGCAGGGTGCTCCGTGCCCCTTGCATCCCTTTATTGTCCCGACAGGGCTGGATTTCCCCAGGGCCACCAGCCGGAGGGGACGCGCTGTCTCCATCACCACCCGGAGCAAACCCCGCGGTTTTCTCTCTGTCCCACCGCCATCCCTTTGCTCCCGCAGCCACCTCAGGGATCGCCGTCGCCGTGTCCTCGGGCTGAGCCGTCGTAACGGGGGGGGGGAAAAAATCCTTCTGGGGATGAAGCTGGGGGCCGCCTGCCTCGTGTGCCTGCTGCTCGCCTGCCTGGCCCTGCCCGCCGCCACCACCCACGTGCGCTCCATGGCAATCAGGAGTAAGGAGAGCAGCAGTAAGGGACTCCCCCGAGACACCCCCAGCGCCCTGCACCCCCAGCCCCTCGCCCTCAATCCGGGGGGGACGGAGGGAGGGGGCCGGCGTGCAGGTTGGTTTGGCCTTTCCGCCAGCCTTTAGCACCTCTCTGCCCCCTTTGTCACCCCCCCTCGAGGTTCAGTCCCCTCCCTCGGGGAGGTGGGGGGGTGCAGTGCCCCGTTATCCCCCCCCCCCCTCCAAAAAAATCGCCCTGATGCCTCCTGGCCTCTTGTTGCCTTGCAGACCCGGACATCGACCCCTCGTGGTACACCGGCCGCGGGATCAGGCCGGTGGGGAGATTCGGGCGACGGCGAGCCCTGGGAGAAGGCACCCAGCTGGGGGGGGGCAGCTTGCGGCCAGCCTGTGCCCCTCTGCACCCCCAGTCCCCCCGGGGGGAGCGCAGCGCCTGAGCTGAAGATGGGGGACCCCAATAAAAGCCCTTCTCCTCTCCTTCTGCCTCTCTGCTCTGAAACCGAGCGCGTGGGGAAGAGGGCTTTAGGGTGGGGGGGGGGGGGGAACACAGGATGCGAGCCTGAATGTTGCTGATATCACCTAAAATTAAGCCCTGGGGGCCCCCCACCCTGCTTTCTCAGGTGAATCCTCTGGGGTCCCCGCACCAAGCCCCATTTTGTGGCATGGGGTGAGCATGTGGGGTCCCATCCCTCACCCTCTGCCCCCACTCCCCAGCATCCTCACACAAGTTGGACCCCCCCAAGCCCACTTTTACCCACTTTTTACCCAATTTGGGGGTGAGGGTAATGGGAGTCCCCACACACAGCCTGAGGGGAGGGGATGAGCACCCCCAGCCCCATCCACTGGGAGTGGGGCTGCTTGGGGAAGGAAGGGTTAATCTCAGGAGGGAGGGGGCAAGGGGTGAGTGGCAATCAGCCATTCACTAATTAGCTGCCTAATTAATGGAGGGGATTTAGGGAGGAGGTGGCCTTGGGTTTTGTTTTTTGCTGGGGGAGCTCCCATCCCCCGAAGTGGCTCAGCACTGGGAGGTGGTGCAGGTGGGTGCTCCTTTGTGGGGTGCCCCTATGGGAGTACAGGGGGGCTTTTGGGGCCAAGTAAGGCTGGGAAACGGGTGCTGCAGCCCTGTCCCCTCCTGGACAGAGATGGGAGCACCCCCAGGGGTGTTCGCTGCCTTGTGGCTGAGCATTTCCTAGGGTTTGAGAGTCACCGTGCACCCCAAAAACCAGCTGTGGTGTCACCCCATGGGCAGGGGGCCCCTCACTCTTTGGGGGTGGAGGAGATGAGAGTGTCCTGCCTTCCCCTATAAAAAAAAAAACAGCAATTTGGGCAGCTGCTGCCAGGCTCTGATCCCTGCTACCTCCAGACTTTTGTGGTCCCCACCTGTGTGTGGACACGGGGATCAGGGAGAAGGAGGCAGTGAGGGTGACCCGCTCTTTATTTGCACCCATATGCAAAAACCCCATTACGATGGGATGGGATCCTGGCCAGGCTGGTGGCAGCACGGTCCCTGGGACCAGCAAGGAGGTCACCCCCGTGGAGAAAGCTGGTGTGAGAGCCTGGCCCAGGACCCTGTGCGTGCACCACGTGCGCTCTCATGGAGAAGATGATGAGGAAGGTCCTTGGTCTGTGCCATCCACGTGCCACCCGCTGTCTTCTCACCACCAACGCCGAAAGCACGAGGTCGGGTCCCTCCTGTCCTCCCCGGTGCTGTGTCCCGTGGGGAGCCCGTGGCCCCTTCACACCCGGCAGCACCCTGTCCTTGCTCTGCTCGCCCCCAGGTCCACATGCTGCCCGCGGCGTGGGGCCGGTGCCGTCTCTGCTTCACGCTGTAGGAGCTGAAGGGCTGGGGGGGAGCAGAGCCACAGGGCAGCACCCCCTGCCCGGGGGTCCCGTCCGTGCCTGGGGGGCTTCATGCTTCCCCCCGTGTCTTACCTACGGCCATAAAGACATCCTTTACTTGGTGGTTGGATTTCGCCGACGTCTCCGCGAAGAGCAGGCTTCTGCTCCTTGCAAACTCTTCGCCCTCCTGGGAGGAGAGGAGCTGAGTTAATTCCACTGGCCCTGGTCCTGGGGACCCTGGGGGCATGGGGAGACCTTTCAGGGGTCAGTTTCTCCCCCAGCTGTGAGGTTTGGGGGCACAAGGTGACCACAAGAGCCAGGCTTATTCAGAGTACTTGGGTTGGGTAAGAGCAGCTGAAGGTCCTGCCATGACCGTCAGGCACCAATAAATCGCCCATAAATGCATCACTGACCTCTGAGGGACCCCATTTTGGGGGTGCCCAAAGGCCCTTTGGTATCAAGGGACGTATTCTGGTGTTTGTAGCAGGGAAAGGGGAATGAGGCAGGTGCCCACCTCGGTCGGGACCTCTCTCTCCTCAGCCAGGTCCGTCTTGTTGCCCACCAAAGCAATGACAATTTCGTCATGCAGGAACTCCTTCTCCAGCTCCTTTAGCCACTGCTTCGCCCTGCCGAGCGTTTCCTGGGGAGAGACAGCAACACCACAGCTCCTAGAGCTTTCTGTCCCACCAGTGGGGTGTCTCGGGGCAGCATTTTGGTGATGAGGGGTTAACCCCCCCCCTCACCTTGTTGGTGATGTCGTAGACGAGGAGGGCAGCGTGGGCGCCCCGGTAGTAGAGGTGGCAGACGCTGTGGTACTTCTCCTGCCCGGCCGTGTCCCAGATCTCCAGCTTGACCGTGGCCGACTCCATCCGTAGTATTTTCGTGAAGAAGGAGCCTGAAAGAGAGGCGGGCTGGGGAGCGATCACTTGGGGTGAGCACGGAGAGATTGGGGCTGCTGCCACGGGGCTGAACCCGATTCGAGGTCGGGGATGCTGCTGTGGAAACTGGATGGGTTTTCATCACCCCAGCAGAAGAGGTTGGCTGCTCACTCCTGAAGCTGGCAGCAGATGGGGGAAGCAAATCCACCTTTGGGGGGAAGGGGGGGGAAATGCTCACTCACATCCCACGGTGGGCAGCGACTCCTGGAAGTCGTTCTTCATGTATCGGTAGGCCAGGCTCGACTTTCCCACCGCCGTGCTCCCCAGCAGCACCACCTTGTAGATGTAGGTGGGACAATGCCTCTCCAGCGAGCCACCTGCCGCCCCTTCCTGTGCCATCTCCTGCAAGGAAACCAACCCAAAACGTGCCTGCAGTGACCCCAGGTGAGCACCTTGCATGAAATCCCAACTGGGGGCAGTGTGGTGTGACCTCAAAACAGCTTTTGGGGGCTCTCCCACTAACTCAGCAAGTCCAACACTGCCCAAAAGAGCCAGTTTTAACACCTAAACCCAGCCCTGCCCGTGCCCAGTTAGTTTGCCCAAGTTTTCCCTTTTCCCTCGATTATTGGAAGTGTTATTATTATTATTCCCTTGATTATTTTCTGTTTTCAGCCCCTTAAATGCACTGTACAGCCTGATGACGAAGAGCGGGGACACAGTTCATGCAGGTAATTATCTGGCTTATTATTTTATTTAAACAAAAAAATTAAATAAAATAAAATAAAATGCAGCATAAGGCTGTGCTCCTTCTGGTATTTTTGTCTGCTGCCATAGGTAATGCTCAAAAAAACTTTACAGGCAGCTGCATGAAAAGCTCTGCGGATTGTTTTGTAAACCCTGTTACTCCTTTTTTCAAATTATTTCTTAAAATGCACCTCCATTTAACCCCAGAAGATTGCACCAAGCCCCCTCAACAATTACTGCAATCGCTGGAAATTTCCTTGCAAACACCTATTGCAGAGGGGGTGCATCGCCGCAGCTCGTCTCCAACAATTTCTTTATTCCCATGGTAAGAGGGTGCAGGGGGTTCATATCCCTGGTCGCCAAGAAAGCAAAACAAGTCATTTTGTTCTGATTTTGATGGAAACTAACAGGATTTAGGGGAAAGTGTTTGTTTTTGTTGCTGTTGAAGGATTGCTCTTTGTCGGCGCTGCCGAGGCAGCCTCCCTGATTTCCCTGTGCTGGGATGAGGGTGTCAGAGAGAAACCCTGAAATCTCCTTTCCTGCTGGTTTTGTGAGCTAAGCCCCACCAGAGCACACCAGGAACCTTGCTGGTATTGGAAAAATTAGGAAAAAGTTTGATTTGACCTCACACAGACTCCCTATTTTGTGGCAGCTGTGTCCCGAGGCAGACATTTGGGGCAGGCTCTGCTGACCTTACGCTAGCAGCTTCGTGCCTGCTTCCAGCTGAGGGTTAAGCATTGCATAAAACCCACGTTTTATGGGCTTTATTGTTAGTGATATGAGCCAGAAACAGGAGGTGGAGCAGTTATCTGAGCTGGAAGGCAGCAGCGAGGGCTTGGCGTTTGCCGCTCGATAAATCAGTATCTGCGTTATCGCTGACCTGGGGGGGGGGTCCTGCTGTGTTCACTCTCAGGGGTAAATATTTCCAAAAAATATTACCCTTTATTTCCAAAGAAAAGATATCATTGGGGAAAAAAATAAAAGGAATGCAGAGATTTGGAGATGGAGACACTGCGAAGTGTCGTGTAAGCCTCTGTTTAACTTCCTGGGAAATTAACAGCGTCTAATTGATGTCTGAGCCAGCACCTCTCAGGGGATGCTGGAGCCATTTGCTGGGTTTCTGCTGCACCTACCCTGCAGGTTTGGGACGTGGGATTTTTTTTTTATGGTGTTTTGTTTGTTTGTTTTTCCCCAGCTGGTGCTAGCACACTGGCGTCCCCAGATCGTTCCTGCTGGCGCTGAGCTCTGCGGCAGTCACCGTGCTTAGGGGAAGCTTGCCAGGGGACAGGGAAACCTGCCCTGCAAAGACACTTTGATGTGTACACACTGCTGGATCCACGCAGCGCTGATTGCCCAACACGATCAGCCCTCCCCTGAGCTGAGGGGAGCAGAGCCTGGGTTATTATCGCCCTGCTGGGGAAAGAAAGCCAGCAACAAGCAGAGATCCCCCTCCGACTGCGATTTTGGAGGCTGGGCTGCCTTTATGGCTGGGATTTGGGGCTGATTATGGGTGGGAAGACACAAGTCTTGGGATTTTGGGGGAGGTGGGAGGCAGAGGAAGGGGTTACCTGGCTGCAGGCTGGCTCTCCTCTGGCACAGGGGTGGCGGAGGACGGGGACGGCCTCGACAGATGAGGACAGCCTCGATGGATGGAGATGGCCTCGATGGATGAGGACGGCCTCGACAGATGGGAACAGCCTCAGCAGACAGGAACAGCCTCGACGGATGGGGACGGCCTCCTCCAACCTCCCCGGCTGCCTCCTCTCCGCAGAAAACTAAAAGCGAAACTCCGTCAGGCGTGCCAGCAGCTGCCGGAGAGCGGTGCCAGAGCCGAGAGGTGAGCAGAAACGGGTGAACCTTAAACCCTCCCCGCCGGCTGGGCGAGGCAGGGCCATAAACCCTGCCCTCTGTGCTCCCTCTGTCCCCGCTGTCCCTTGTCCCTGCTGCAGGAGCTGGGTTTTTTCGGTGGCTTGAGCTCGGAGGTGCTGCGAGCATCACCGCCCGCATCCCGCAGCTGGGATTTGGGAAGGGGAGGGTTGGGTACGAGGCAGGCTGGTGCCAGGGATCCAGCCTTTGTAGGGTTTTTTATAACACTGTGATTTCTGCTGACGCAGGTGAGACTCCTCTTTGGTCCCAGGCTGTGATAACTCGGAGCTGGGGCTGCCAAAGGGATTTGTTTTTTTGGGGAGCGGGTGGGAAGCGGCACACCCGCTGCTCCCGCAAAGGGCTTCGCAGACAAGCTGGCGAGGTGCAGACAAAGCGAGCAAAGAGAAAAACCTGAGCACTTGGGCTTTTCCTGCCTTTTAATTAAACTAATGGCTGGTTACCGCAGGGGCTGGGCGCTTTGTAGAGAGCTCTTGTTAAAGCTCTTACATCTTAATGGGGGAAAAGCACGGTGTATTGGGATAACCGGTCTGGAGAGAGAACAGGAAGATCTGCAGGTCATTAAAAACCTAAAGGAAGGTGGCTTTTGTGTTTGTAGCACTAACCTGGCCCTCTGTAACGCCTTGCCTTCCAGAGCCAGCTCTGAAAGCTTTCTGGATCTGCACGAGTAACTTTGTGGTCTGTGAGCCAAATGAGAGTGGATTTTTCTTTTTTGGGGGGAACAAATCCCAGCACCGACACCACTCAGCTGCATCCAGCCCCCGAGCATGGCTTAACCCGCACCCAGCTCCTGGCCAGAGGGCAGGAAAGCCTTTCCTCCCGGCTCCCTGCCCATCACCCAGGCTAGAAAGGATGTGGGGAGCCTTTGCAGAAGTTTCCTACTCACCCTGTGAAATCCCAAACCGGCGTGAACCTGGGTTGGCACAGCAGAGGGGTAGAAAAGCGTTTGGGCACTTCTCTTCTTGTCTTTGTTCCCAATCCCAGTAGTATCTGCCTGGGATGAGGCAGGGGCTTTTATAAGCACCCCCTGGGTCCCAGGGGAGGTGTCCCTGGGGTGGGCACCGTGTCCGACACGGGACCTTCTCCAGCTGCAGACCCACTAGGGGGCACAGCTCGTCCGTGATTTCAGACAGCACAGCTCTGCTGCCGAGTCTCCTTTCTGAACCTGCTCCTGGAGCTTTACGCTTGTGGTTACACCGCAAGACCTGGTAGGAGAGCTCTGGCCGCAGGGCTGGTAGGCACCAAATATTCCAGCCCAGCGAGGCATGACCTGAGCACCTCAAAACCGCTTGCAGACCTTCCCCTGCTGCTCTGTTTTCATCCCTTTTCCTGCAGGAGCTGCAACGTTTTAGACCAGAACAGGTCAGAATAAATCTCCTAGGGCAAAACTCCCAGGGCATATTTTGGCCACCCAGATTGCTCCATGGGCACCGCTGTCTGCCTCGTCTCTTGCTGCATAACAGGCTGAAGAAAGTACCTGAAAGCACGAGTGGCTTTTCCTTTCTTTCTGCTGTTCCCAGGGAATGTGAAGGAGCAGAAAAAAAAAAAAAAAAAAAAAAAAAAAAAAAAAAAAAAAAAAAACCGCATTATTTATACTGGAAAGGCACTGGGAAACTTTATGTCCTTAGCAGTGAGAGCAAAGCACAGAGCTGGGACTGCTAGAGATGCTTGGGACAGACGTCTTGTCCCTCTGCACTGCCAGCTTCAAGGAACTGGTCACTTGTGGGAGAGTATATTTAGCAAGCCTTGCCTTTGGGGTAACTATTTCGGTTTAGCCAGTCTTGCTAAAAACGAGCAGAGTCCATCTGCAGTCCTGGCTCTTTGCAGAACCAGTTGTTGCCTTACCCTGCTCCTTTGAGCAGGCTCCGAACTGCCTGGGTATTTCAGGGAATAACGAGGTCGTTTGGGGAGCTTCAGGCTCATTTTGGGGGGCAGGGGATGCAAAGCCTCAGGAATGGGCTGAGGCTCTCCTATTTTTACAGGCTGGTTTGTTTGGAGAAGAAACATCCAAAGCACAGTAAGCACAGGGAGTTCAAAGTGAGAGGTCAGGACAAATTACGTTTATGAGCTGCAAATGGGCTCGCTTGCTATCAACTCACTTTAAAGGTGCTCTTAAAAAAATCCTGGTGAAGTAGAAAGCCCAGGGTCTGAGCAGATCTTGTCCATAATGCTGACGGGGCTGTTATTGCTTTACCCCCGTCCTTGCTGACAGGTATGTGGTGTGCTGGGGTAGGCACAGCTCAGGGCTCCTGCTGAGGACACTGGAGTTCACCCCCTGGAGTTCACCCGCTGAAGACCGACGGTAGCCTGCTCACGATAATACAGGCAAGGTTTGTTCCTCCTGTTGCAACAGAGCCTCAACGAGTCATTTTGTCAGCCCTAAGAGGAAGAAGAGCCCTGCCTTTGTTAATGAGAGAAAAACCGAGCTCCTCCCTCTTGCAATGGCAAGGCTACGAAATATTTTGAGGGTTAGTGGTGTTGCAATGATGAACAGATATTTATGCTGAGCCTCGAAACCCAGCCTGTTGTGAACTGCTTCAGGCCTCTAAAGTGCTCGCCTTCCCCTATTAATTATTAATGTCGCTAAAACACTCCAGAGATTGGCCTGGAAACGTTAAACACGCTTAATATTAATGGGTCCCAGATGATAAGTGATGGTGAACGTGTTAAAGAGCGAGGAGGGAAAATAACTACTGACTACAATAAACATTTTCAGTGCCTGTGAACCACAAGAAATGCTTTCCTATGGCTTTGCCTGGAAATTGTTTGAAGGGGCAGGTCCTGGAGCGAATCCACTGGAAATGAGACTCGGATGGTCACAGGGATGGCTGGGGGATGGCGGGCAGACCCACAGCTGGGACATCTGGGGAGGAGAACCCCTGGAGGATGCAGAAAAAGAAGGAAAAGTTCTACAAAAGGGGATTCATCGTTACCAACAAGGTGCAGGGTTTGCACGATGAAAGCCCCTAAGCTCCCCCTGCCACGTGCGTTTTCTGCTGCCCACCCTGAACTCAGGGGGATGCTTTTTTTGCCAGCAGGGTTATAGCATGTTAAGGGGATGGACCCTGACCTTGATGATAAAATTTGGTGATTTCTGGCCAGCTGGGTTAAGCTTTTGGTCCAGGACAGGCACACACGGACAGGGTGATCACATATGGCTCATTCCCTTAGGAAACCAGGCTAAAAATGGCTGTAGGCAGCACGTTTCTACGCAAAGGGCCATGGAGGAGTTCACTGACAGCCAAAAAAATATCTCCCAGCCCAGTTAATCTCCCCCAGCAGTGTTTTGTTTGTCTGTGTTTTCACGAGACAGTCGTGATGAACGCGACTGCAAGCGGTTTGCCAGCGCGGGGAGAGGGGGAAATACTTGAGCAATGTTGTCTCGCGCAGACTTGGAAAGCTCGTGTGGGTGTGAACTCGGGTTTATTTCTGCCGGAGTCCCCACCCAGTTTTTGGATGTATAGCACAGACGCATTCACAAGGCGTTTTAGGATGGGGTCCGTCTCCCCCTGCCTCGCAGAGGGCCGGCGGCCACGCAGTCTCCTTGCTTTTATTTTTCGGGTCATGTCAGAGCTTTTGGCTGGTTTCCAGCTGCTCCTCGGCTTCACAGGCTGGGTGTTGCAGGCGTGGTGTGTACACGCACGGGAATAGAAATTATTTCATCTGTCTGAGCCCCAGCAGCCTCGCTTTGTGCCAGCCACCGCTGCTACGCGGAGGTGAGACGTCTCATCCCCTGCCAGCGAGCCAGCAAGGGATGGAGATGCCTCAGGGAGGGAAACCATTACCTGCTATTACCTTAAGCAGCTCCTTTCCTAATTGAAAAATGTATTAAAAATTATTTTGGGAACTTCTAATTAGTTTTGTGGAGCCGCTGGTGCGCTCGGGATGTTTCAGGAGCTTCAGTGACTGCCCAGAAAGAGGCCACTGCAGAAAAGTCTCTTTCCTCTCAGCCACCACCACTGCTGCTGCAAGGTCAGGGAGGATGAAAACTTCTGCAGAAATCGAGGTTGAGCAATGAAGGTGGTGTCTGACAAGTTCCTGGGGAACTCCCCAAGACAGTGCCCAGCCCTATGTGATTCGAAGCTGGAAACCCTGCAATAAGTGGCTATGCACTGAGTTTTTTTTTTTAAAAAAAAAAAAAAAGTAAAAGAAAGAGCAGAAATTTGTGGCTAAGGCTGTTCTCTTTCTGCCTTTGGGATCTGTTTCCAGCCAGGTGCTTGCAAAGCCATTCAGCTGTCTATGTAACTTGGTGGCTTGTAGATGCAAGCACACGTTTTCCTCTATGTTCAGTTTGGGTTATTCAGTGCTTTTTTGTTACTATTTTTTTTTTTTTTAATGCAGCTGAAATGAAAGCATTCTGTGTCAACTGAGTGTGTTTGGGGAAAATCTTCTTTTAATTGTTTCTACAGTCATCAAGAAAATTAAGTACTAGCAATTTTGACAGCTCTTGCCTGACCGTTTTGGCTCTTTGCTGATGGAGAACAGGGGAAATAATTCCCTCACAGCCCTACAGGGAGCGATCAGAAGGGCTTCAGTGCCATAATAATTAATGCTGTGGAAAGGCTGACAAGGAAATTGCAGAGGATGGTAATTGGTGAGGGGCTTGGGGTGCAGGAGCTGGCTGATGGCTCAGGGTGCATGGGGGCAGAGGGCAGGGAAAGTGTGCTGAGTGCATGGATCACTCCCAAATGTTATTTTTCCCTGTGAATGGAAAAAATAGGGATGCTAGGGGTGCTAGGAAAATGTATTATGACTTAAAATCAGATGCACCTTCAGCTCGAATGCGCTGCAACATGTGAAGTGTTTTGTCTCTGTTTCAATCCAATGTTTTCTTACTGGTATCTTCTTTCACTTCCGAGTTTAGGCAGACTTCTTCACTTCAGGAAACGATAATGACCTGCCTTCCTGCCCTGCTGGTGATTAGCACAGCTGGAGGCTGCATCCCTGAGCACCAGCACGGCTTGTTTTTGGCCGGCCAGGAACTATCTCGGCTGTCTGCTTCTGTCCTGGGTGGGTGGGTGAACGAGGCAGGAGATGGAGCAGCGATGCACGGCTTCGGCACGCATGAAGAAATGGGAGACATCAAATGCAGGAGCTTTTCTTCCTGGTATTAAGTGGTTAGAACCGTTTCCTGAGAAAAGACATGGCAATTTTTAAAATTTTGATGTAAAAGTGGTGAATGGGAAATAGTTCGTCCTTGACAGGTGTGGAAGATCTCTAGAAGCAAAGCATGGCTGGGTTCTCTGGCACTGGAGAAAAGGGATGTTTTTCCTCTAACTTTGGATCAATCTGGATGGATTTCCATAGGGACAGCAAACAGCTCGTCCTTCCACTCCAATTAATTAAACTGGTGTTCATGTAGGCTTTCCCAAAATGCTGTCCACGCACTGTTTTACAAGGCAGTATCACTAATTAGTGCAAACACTCAACCCACTACAGACAATTGGTATTTTCGGGCCCTGTGTTGTGGCTGTGCATTACTGCGGTCTGAAACAACTCGGCTTGAAGAAAACCTGGAGGGCCTGCTCGGAAAATGTGGCTCAGCTTAACCCTGGAATATTTGGGACCAGAGCAGACACAGCCACGCAGCACGGAGCAGACAAACCTCAGGGAAATCAAATAAGCAGGAAGGATCCAGCCCGTGTAACGAGGCTGCGTGATGCCTTGCTCTCACTGATTTCATGCTTGATGCGTTATTTCTAAGAAAACAGCCTGGGGCTCTCTTAAAACATAGCTTTACATGACAAGAGGGGAACCAGAGGAAGAGAAGCAGCCAGATTTTGCAGCTGGCTGGGGGAGCAGCTAGCGGCACAGCTCCTGAACAGCAGACCCTGATGTGCCTTTGCTGGGAGCCAGGTACGGCCACGAGGCTGCTGTGCAGCAGCCCAGGAGCGGTTCAGCTCCCTGCAGCTGCTGTGGAGCTGGCTCAACTTTGCTTTGCACTGAAAAACCCTGAGCCGTGCTGTGTCTGCTCCTAATTAGATGAGGTCTGAGGAGGCTGCCTCGAGTCGGTTCCCATTTTAGCCCAAAACGGGCAGTTTTCTGCAAGCTCAGTTTGCAAACTGCAGGTAAAGTCCCCTGCCTGGCACGGATTTGGATGCTTGCATGATTGTACTGTTGGTCTTATTCCATCCAAACAGGAGCATCGGGGGGCCAGGAGAACTCTCTGGGGCTGCTGAGGTGCCAGCGGGATGGATATTGATGTCCCAAACTTTGTGGCAGAGCAGGGAGCCCCCAGTGCTGGTGTCTGCAGCCAGACACTCATGATAATGCTTAGTTTGGGATGCATGTCCAGACCTTCTTTGGCAATAAACTTGTGATTTCCAGACTGCTATTATGTATGGCCTGTAGCTTTTGTGCTAACTTGGCTCCAAACTTTATGCAGAATCATCCCAGCTCTTCTCTCCAAAGGAGTTTATAGAAAAGAGATGCAGATTTTCTGCCTACAGCTATGCGAGTCTGAATTCTTCACACAGGTAACCAGATGAAGAGGCACCATTTCAGGTAGGGTCTTGTGGATGTTTTGTGCAATGGTGGAAGTATTTGCATTGAGACACCCTTACCTGAAATGCTCTAACATGAAACATATTTTTTTGCTGTTTGTGTTGTGATGCTGGCACACAACTAACCTGTGACCAGTTTGTGACCCCAGATCTTCCTCCTCTTCTGTCACCTCTGGCTGATGAGATCATGGGTTCAGTCCTTGACATGGGATTTGCAGTCTGCCTGATGTCATTCCACTCATGTCTTAGCCTCTTCCTATTCTCGTATGACTTTATCCTCCTTTATTGATGTTGCTTCATAACCCCGTGAAATGCACAGGGTGTATTTCATTAGCGCTGGACTACTTGCGTGGGAGTGCTAATGAAAACATTAAATGAAATCAAGCCCAAGGCTTTGAAAAACTCCTTCGGAAGGATGATTCTTCCTCGGCCTTGAAGAGGGTCCAATTCTGAGGTGAAGCCACGCAAGGTTCCCGGCACAACAGAGCTCCCCTGATGCAAATAGCCTCTCTTTTGACATGATGACAAATGAATTTCATCCCAACACATCTGCATGGATGCTATCGGTCTCCTGAGCCCTGTCTTGATGCTGCTCAGATGTGACATCAACATCTCAAGGCTTCTCCCAGGAGGGTTCATTTGCTGAAGAGACAATTATCATGGGCTCCTTAGGAGGTAGAATAAAGGAAAAGCCCTTTAGATGCAGCAGTGTGTGTTTTTTTTTTTCTGAAGTACCTCAGTGCCAGCACATAGTTGTCCGCGATGTAATTTTTTCCCATTAATATATCTGCAGACCCTGCTGGATAGCACTGCTGTTATGTTTGCAAAATGTTACGGTGTTAGCGGGGCTCTGCTCCTTTCATGTATCTTGACAATATGAAATATCGGCCTCCGAAGTGTTGGTTTTCCAAAGTATTTAAGTGCTCCACTCTCCTCGGGCTAATGGACATCTTATTAAAGCTGTCAAACTTCATTTCTGGCTAGCCAGATGCCACAGTCTTATGGTGTAGCAGAGAGGTGTCCCTGTGTTTTCTTTCAATGCTGTCAGCTAGCCACTGGATTCCCCTATCCCAGGGCTTGCTGCTAATAGAAACATAACCATATTTTGCTGCGAAGTGCATAAAAACATCAATTTTATTGTGTAAAAAGGGCCTACTGAGTACACAAGCAGCGGCAGCTTTAACAGCTGATTGCTTGTTCTGATCCTCCAGAGTGCGGTTTTACAAGGCGGTTTGGTTTAAGAGCAGCACAGAGGGAAAATTGTGTCTTTGGGATGTACTCTGCATGAAATGGCCCCCTTGTACGCAGGATATTGGAGAACGAGGTACGTATTATGCTCTTAAAATAGAGCCCTTTGAAACTGGCATGGGATACTCAGGCTTGTCTGAGTATCATTAATCACAGTTATGGCTCTCAGACAAAATGAGCCTCGACTTCACGTTGCTTGTTAAAATAAGAAATGTGTGTTTCAGTATTTAATTTGCAGCGGCAGTCAATGCACTTCACAGTGTAGCCAAAACTAATGTATTTGAATCATTACTTCATATTTATTTGGACAAATTCTGTATGTATAGTGTCTTTACAACGAGACAGCTTATTTTGACTGTATTAAAAGAAGAAATTACTGTAAGTGTCTGGAATGCGAGCAAAAAGGATTCCTTAGGCTGCAGTGCATGTGTGATTTGAGTTCTGACTGCAGACACTCAGTAACTTCTCTTCCAAGTACTCTATTATTTTTTTTTTCTTTAGAAAGCTCTCTCAATGGCAGGTTTTCAGACATAAATCTGCCCCGCGCAAGCTTCAGCTTGGCTGTAAGGCCTAATCTCTGCAAGGCTTCCAGCCAGTAAGGCACGAATGCAAATCTTCCTGCACGGCTGAACTGGAAATTCCTCGCGTGGATAACAGTGATGCAGCCACACAGGTGGCTGAAATCCCTGGGTAACACGGGCCTAAAAATAAGGCACTGCCCTGTGCCTTTAGCCAGAATTCCTCAAAGGGCAGGGGCAAATTCAAGGATAAGGGCTCAGGGAACAAGCTATGCACAGCCTGATAGGGCTAAGCAAGGCCTCTGCGAGGTGAGGTTGGTGTGTGAAGTGGCTGAAGGAGGGAAGTCTGTGGGATATCTAGGAAAACCAGTCACAGTGAGGCTTTACCCACACAGCCAGATCACTATTAAAGCCCCTGCACAGCCTTGCAGAGCCTGTGCTTTTGTCTCCACTTGTGTGGAGTCAGAGTAGACGTGACTCCTAATCTGGGGATGTGGCACCCTTGTTTTCAGTGCCCAAACAAAGTAGGGGACTGACGTAGCTGCTTCTGCTGACAAAAAGTCGTTTATTTCTTGCAGAGATAAATAGTCCCAGGCACAAGAAACAGCATTGGTCCGTGCTACTGAGTCATCAGAAGAACGATGGATCCCCAAACAACTTTGAGATGAGCTGTGAGCTCACACACAGCCCAAATTGTCTACAAAAAAAAAAAAGGAAAACAAACAAGACGCAGCGTTTCCGAGAAAGTAATGTCGACAGCTGTCCACCAAAGGTCTGCGTGATTCCTTGCTAAGTTTGTCCCATCGCGTTTCACTTGGGGCCCTGCAGGCATTGCCCTGCCGAGGAATGAAGACAATGGATTCGGCACAGGCACCGGCTATAAATAGTCACCTTGATGTCACTGGTATAAAAAGCAGCAAGTGACAATTAAGTAGTTTCTGGAGAACCAGAAGCCCGGTAGCCTGGATTGCATGGAGGGCATTTATACCCATCTGGGGAAAGGGATTCTGCTAGAACTAGTTTTGTTGGTTTTTTTTTGTGAAGCAGCAACCGGTTGCTTTATGTCCTGATAAATGCCCTCGTGGGAAGGGGTGATATATTAAACCGCTTGACACAGTTTTGAATTCGAGGATCAGTCTTCTGCAGAAATGACCCAAATCCCCATCGTCATACATGAAAACTTCCAGATAAGCGTTGGCTTTGGGTGTGCATGGGCTGACAGATCTGGTCAGCTAACCCAGAAACCTGTGGGTAGTGATGCTGTGGTGATTTCTGATTTTAGAACAGGTCTGATCTGTAATTTAGAGTTGCCCTGAGCTTTGGCTGTTTTCCTCCCCTTTCTAAGATTTATCCGGGGGCTGGATTTAGAGAGAGAGGGATTTGGCTTAGAAGTTAGGAAGAAATTTTTCACTCAGAGAAGCTGTGGGCACCCCGTTCCTGGAGGTGTTCAAGGCCAAGGTTGATGGGGCTTTGGCCAACCTGATCTGGTGGGTGGCATCCCTGCTGGGTGGGTCAGAACAGCGGTACAAGGGGGTGTATTTGGGGTCAAAACGGCGGTACGAGGGGACGTATTTGGGGTCAGGACAGCGGTACAAGGGGATGTATTTGGGGCCAGAACAGGGGTACGAGGGGATGTATTTGGGGTCAGAACAGCGGTATGAGGGGACGTATTTGGGGTCAGAACAGTGGTATGAGGGGATGTATTTGGGGTCAAAACTGCGGTACAAGGGGATGTATTTGGGGTCAGAACAGCGGTACGAGGGGATGTACTCGGGGTATGAACAGTGGTACAAGAGCTGTGACAGGAATCCTGGAGATCACTGGCTCCTTGTCAGCGCCAGTTACTTCACCTCGGCTAAGCACCGAGCTGCTCGATGATGGCAGCTTGGCGGAATTAACCACATCCACCAACCCACGGTACAAAACCCCAAACCCTGAACCCCGAACCCCAAAAGCCCCAAACCCCAACTCCTCTCCTCAAAACCTCAAATCCCTCACGCCACACCCCACACGCCTCACGTGAAAACCCCCAGACCCCTCACCCCAGAACCCCAAACCGCAAAACCCCAAACCCCTCACCCCAAATCCCCAAAACCCTGACCCCAAAACCCCTCTCCCCAAGCCCCTCCCGGCCGGAGCCGGCGGCGCATGCGCGGGGCGGGGGCGCTGTGTGTCGGGCTGCTGGGGCGGGCGGGCGGCTGAGGCAGGAGTCGGGGGGGCGCGGGGCGGCTCCCACCCGATCCTCCCGGAGCCGATCCCCCCCTCGATCCCCTCGGACCCGATCCCCTCCGGATCCCATCCTCCCCACCCCGCCATGGGGACGCAGGGAGCCGGCAGGAAGCGGCTGCCGAACCGGGAGCGCCTGACGGCGGAGGACGACGCGCTCAACCAGATCGCCCGTGAGGTGAGCGGCACCCCCGTGTCCTTCATCCCCTCCCTCCTCATCATCCTCATCCTCTGCCTCCTCCTCATCCTCCTCAGGGCTCCCAACGGCCGCCCACGAGCAGCCCCCCCGGCTCTAACGGCCGTAACGGCCACCCCCCTCCTCATCCCCTCACAGGTGCGAGGCGCAGCCCCTCAAAGACAAAAAGCACACACGCAAAAATAACCCTCAAACACCATTATTTGCGCTTCTCCGCCTCAGCCACAACCCCCGGGGGGCAAAGCTGGGTTTCTTTTGTGCGAGCAGCGTCCGGCAGCGGTGGCTTTCGGGAAGCTGAGCGCCCTTCCCTGGAGCAGCACCACAGCCTGGGATGCGTGTGGTGGTGGTGGTGGTGGTGGTGGTGGCAGTGGTGGTGGCACCGCTTTGTGTCCCCACATCCTCACCCAAAGCAGCCCCAGACACCCCGCCAGCACCGCCTGCCTCTGGGGCCGTCAGCCGGCCTGGATGTTCAAGGGCAAAGTCATTAAACGCTAAGTAAAAGGTAACGTTAATTGCAGCGGTGTGGGGCTATTTATGATCCGAGGGCTCCACTTAAGCCTGAAGCACTTAGGGTGTTTATACGTGAGGGAAACACTGCGTCGTGCCAGCCCGGGCAGGAGCCCTGCTGTACGTAGTCCGGCCTCTTCGCTGAGCAAAAATTGTCTGCTGCGGTGGGCTTGGTATTAATGACTGAGAACCAGGAACGCTCCTTTTTCCTGGAGGTACGTATAAGAACAAAACGTACACCAAAAGACAGCAGAATGGTGTTTGCAGGCATAAATCTACTTGGAAACTGGCTTGCATATGTTTATATGTAACGAGTTAGGCATGCGGTTCATCAGACATTGCATCTTTGGGCTTGATGTGACTTTAAACAGTTAAGAACAGCTGATGACTGCCTTGTTCCTACCAGCTAATTCGTACTGATCGCGTACAGCTGCATGGGATCAATGGCAAATGTGGTGTGAATTTGGCTTTATGTTTATGCGGACTCTTTTGCGTCCTTCCTCCGGTAATCTCCCAAAAAGGAGGCTGGCAACCCAGGCTCGAGCCTGGCCCCACAGCCCTGGGGTTCAGCTCCTCGCTGTGTCCAAGCTGGCTGCTGCTAAAGGTGGCTGTCCTGTTCCCTGCCTCTGCTCCCCTTTCTGCCAACACCTGTCTGATTTGGGTGGGTTGGCTGAAGGCATGACCTCAGCCAGATAAAACCCTCCGACGCCAATTAGGCTCTTCTGGTGTCCTTTCCTGAAGCTCAGTTGCTGTAGGGCAGTGTGCTGCTGATGGCTACGGAGGTAGAAGGCAGGCTTATAAACTTTGGATAGGAAGGTAGAAGGCAGACTTATAAATTTGAGTGATAATTTGCTGGTAGATTGAGTTACTTTTAACGTCATGCTTCTCAGATTCAGCCTCTAAGGGCAGTTTTGATCTGGGATGTCTCTGCTGTTCTTGAGCTGTTTGTAGCGTCTTTGGAATATGTGCTATGTTAACTTCTCTGTGAGTGATTTAGATGGTACATTAACAGAAGTCAGATGTGCCTCAGTATGATGAGAAAATGCTCTTCTGTATGACAAGAAGAGGCTCTTTGAGCGGTGCTGGGAATGGAAAGCTCCTGCGGAGGTAGTTTGAGGTGGGAGGACAGGAACGCCTTGTGTCCGCACGTGAGATAGCACGTAAGGATGACTGCGCTGTCTGCTGGAGCTTGAGTCATGATAACATCCTGGGAATGACTTGAGGATGAGGGCTTAAATTCCACAACTGTGTCCTGGCCACTGTCCTCTGAGCAAAACAGAAATGTGTAACAAGAGGCCTAGGTTGTTCTTTTCTACTTCATGGCTCTCTCCCACTTTCCTTGGCTCTCTCCCACTTTACTTTAGCTTGCCATATTGTTCTTTGCTGTATCACGAAGAGGTTTGACACTTAGGGTGTTGTTTGTTTTCTCTGAGCACGGGGTAAGGGACAACCCTATTTGAAAACTCCTCCGCAAGCGTGCCTTTTATCTTCTCCCTTGAGTGCTAAAACTGAACTGAAAAGTTCAAGGTTCAGCATTTTCCCATATTGTTTTAACTCCTTGCATTACTCACTCTTTAGGTTTTATGCCCTTATCATGGTTTTGTTTAACTGCCTGCTCTTCACACAGGGAGGCCCGGCTGCATCCATCTGTACAATGCTAAGAACTCTTGAAAATGTAAAGTAAGCCTTTCATCTCCTCCTAATAAAGATGCTGAGTGTTGAGAAGTTTGCAAGGCTTATTGAGTCTTCATCTCTTCCAGCCTTCCTCACAGCTTTTTAGGCAAAGCTTACATGTAGACATACTTCTTGTGTAGGTTTTTACTCTTTTCTTTTTCACCTAGGAGCCGCAGGTACTCACAAATGCTGGCGTGTTCAGATGGGAGTCTAAAAGGGGGTCCAAACCAGATTTATACATAGAGATCCCGTGGTAAA